ACAACAGGCTGTCCAAATGAGAAAGACTGAGTTGCATGTCTATAAGTATGCGCGCAGGGTGCACATGCTACAAGGTCTCCATCCTCCCGGCCTGGTCCCTCCCTGCCAGGCTGGGCCTTTGGGCCCTCCTCAGAGTATGCCTGGGTGCAAACCCCACTGTTCAGATGGGCAGCAAGTTCTCACTTCAAAGCTATCAAACGGAGATTTTAGCACCTTTAAAAAAATAAACTTTGACTTTTAATTTATATATGATATGCTGACAGGCTGACCGCAGATGATTTTGTCCTCTTCTCTGCGTTCAGTGTTGAGGTGGCTGCTTACAAGAGGCACTGGTTTTGTATATAAAGACACTCGGGTTGTTTTGTAGCTCTTTTTCTTATTGGCTGTACTAACGCTTGCTGAGGTTATCTGTGATAAGGGAGGTAACAAGTGGCAACACCCTCCCCACCAACCATCCCCTTTGCTGCTTTCTGTGTCTTTCTTGTTCAGTTACCAAAATAGCTGTAAGCCCATCTAATGCTAGGTGTGTGGATATTGTGCTAGAGTAGTTTCAGTGTGTCAACTTTATGAATTCAAATATAAACCAGTAAAACTGTATTACTATTTCTTTTGTTGGTTTTATTTTAACAGTATATTCATTAAATATTTTGGTACAAACAGCATTGCTTTGTAAAAACCAGTTTTATCCTCATGTGCTCCTGCCACCTCCTCGTCTTCCCCCCACCCCTGCACACAGAAGCAGAGTCAGAGAAGACCACCACCTGTGCTGTCAGAGAGGTATGTGTGAGCATGAGGCAGCCTCCTCAGCCTCCTGTTCAGACTGGTAGGGTGTGACAGGCCGCATGGGGTGAGAAGATGACTTTGATGCCTCTTTGTTCACGATGAACATTGTTCCTTTCTGAGAAATAATTCGTGCTGTAGTAGCAAGGATGAGAAATACTTTGTATTTTTGAGGTTTAAGGAAGCCTTACCAGGAGGTAAGGGTCAAATTAGACCTTCAAAGGCAAAAGCATCTCACCAGGCAGAGATGGAAGAGGGAATTCCAGGCCAAAATGTACATGTGCAGGGGAAAGCTATAGAAAGGCAGGCTGAGCACCCTGGGGGTCAGGTGTGGTCTGCTTCAGAGCCTCTTTCTTCTCATTGCTTGGCCTTCCACATCCCTGCACCATACAGATGAGGCTCCCAGGCCTTATGCTGCACCTCTTCACCACCTCAACCCCCTTCTCTACAGCAAGAAGAACGATGCTTTCCTAATCTTAGGATTCCCCCTCCCTGTTTGACTTGCCCTCCAGGACCCCACCTATGCCTATCCTTTAAATGGATGCAGCCTGAGCAGACTATAGCTTCATGCTTGCCAGAAGAAGGGAAGAAGATAGATAGATGATTGATAGCCGACTGATAGATTAGAAAATAGAAGATAGAGGATAGATAGGATATAGATTAAATACCTAATATAGATGACGGAGCGATGGATGCAGCAAGCCAGCACCACGGCACGTGTATATCCATGTGACAAGCAGGTGGGCCCCTGCTCTGTCTTTTCTCCACTGCAGTGAAACTAGGAAAGTGCCTAGCATAGGGCTCAGCCCCTGGTGGGTACTCTTGCAGAAACTAGGAGACTGTGGCTGCAGAGCCCAGCTGGGTCCCTTTGATGCTCATAGGCTGCAGGCTGGAGGACATATTTCTGGGATCCACATTCCGGATCTGCCTGCTCCATGCTTTTCCTGTCCCATTGGTTCCATGTTCAGTAGTGTAGGGACTCAGCAGAAATCCTCATCCCAAGAAAAGGAGTTCACATATATTCAGTCTTAGCACACAGGCCTAAAGTGACTCACATGAGGCTCCTGCTTTGGGGGAGGTCCCTAGTTATGTTGAGGCTGAAATTCGAATAATAATAGTGACACAGTAGGGTAAGATATGTGCAGGTGTATGGAATCCTGTGGGAAGGTATGCATAACTGCAGGAGGACAAAGTGACAGTGACACTTGTGACTAACAACCAAAGGATTTGCTAGGTAGAAGAGAAGCAAGAGGACAGCATTGAGGTGGGAAGGACAGTAGTTAAGTCTGCTTGAGGTGGAGTGATGACATGAAACTGGGTAATTAGGTTGGGGCCATGCCCGAGTGTTAGTCTTCACTGGAGAGTTTTAACCCATTTATGCCAGAGGTTGCAAATTTTTTGTGTGTGAAGAATCAGACTTTGGGGATGACCTTGAGCAGCAGGATATAAATAACTCCCAGAAGCTTAGCATTGCAATAATGGAACACCAGGCATAAATGGGTTAAGCCAACTTGTACTTTGAGCAGTTCCCTGCTGATCCTTTAGGAAGAAGAATCAGGAGGAGAAGAAATTAGGGTATGAGCAGAGGTGATTGAAAGATGGTAGAATAAGGAATGGAGAACAGAGTCAGTGAAATTTGGTGAGTGAGGACACACACCAGGAGGATAAATTTAGCTGTCCGTGTATAGATTTGAAATAGCCTGGGACTTGCAGGTTGGAGACACTGGCAGTCTACAGCTGCTCAGTTGTTGTTTTGGCGTCTCTAGCACAGGGTGTCTGGATGGTTTGGCTGGTTGATAACTTCTGTGCTGTGGGGGGGGTCTGTCTTGTGTAATGCCAGCAGCATCCCTGGCCTCTACCCACTGGGTGCCAGTGCACATAACCCGCTCCAGCTGGCACAACCAAAAATGTCTTTAGGTATTTTTTGCCCCTTGAGGGGGCAAAATCACCTTTGGTTAAGAACCACTGCTTGAGCAAGCCGAAGCTGGATAATGCAAGGGCTAGATAGAGGCCTACGAGCAGCTATCAAAAAGCAGTAGAGAAGACATGGAGAATGGAGCATGGACGGCTAGAGAGGAGCAAGACCTCCCTTGGGGTGGGGATGAGGGCACGACTGGAAAAGCTTCATTGGATTTGGGAGCTGGAAGGTTGTTACGACAGTGCCCACTATAGTAGAGGATGGGAGGGCAGGAGGCAGGGACAAGCAAGTAGAGATTTTAAGAAGCCTGGCTGTGAGGGAAGTGGGCAAGCAAGGCCAGTGGTCGGAGGGGACTGTGGCAGGAAGAGCAGTTGTGCTGGGCCACTGGGACTGTGGTTCCAACCTTGGGCACCTGTTTTCCCTGACGGTGCCCTCAGGGCTGCTCACAAGATCTGCGAGCGTGCACCGCAGGCTGGGTGGACCTTTTTTGGGAGGACTTGCTGCAACCCAAGCTGATTTCCAGGGCCTTGGTAATTCTCAGTGGGGAGGCGGTGGCTCAGACCAAATGGCAAGAGCTGTCAGCCCCAAAGTCTCTGAAGAAAGTCCCAGGGGCAGGGGCTGAGTAATAAGAGGAGTGAAGAAGAGCCACAGCTCCCCGAATAAGCCCAGAACATAAATCCCAGGTCTGAGCTGACTCAACAGTTGTGAAAACCACAGCCTGTGCAAAGGGAAGGGCAGCAGGTGACATGAGCCCCTGTCACTGCTCAGCGACGTGCCAGACTCCTCTGACATTGGGATTTAAATGTTCTTCTAAGATTCATTTGGGGGGTCATGAAAGAACAGAGCTGGAGCAGACAGACATGAGGACTGGAGCTGTGCAGAAGGGGCACTGAGCCACACTCAGAACAACAGACGTGCGTGCTGAGTTCTCTGCCCTCCCCATTTGATAGGATTTGGTAGGTGAAGATACATGGGCTCAGAGAGACGGGTGGGGGATGTTGACTCGTACTTCTGTCAGTAGCCAGCAGGGTGGCTTCTGAACGATGACCACAGGAAGCAGTAGGTGGGTAGGAATTGTCACAGCACTGTACTGCAAGCAACACATACACAAACGCAGGGTACAAGGCCAGGCCATGCGCTTGGGCGTACATCTCACTTAACCTTCCTGAGTTCTCCGGATCTGTGCAGTGGGTCCAGTGCCTGGCTCACCAAGGCTGCTGAGCTCTCCACTCTTCCTTCTCCTGTGTTCTTCTCCCTCCAATTGTCAGAACACCCCTGAGTTAAGTGATGTTATTCCCAGATTTGAAAATGAAGGTGAAAGGTATCGAGGAGTTCAGTCTTTCCGACCACATACTTTCACCTTCTCCTCCAGGGCCCAAGGGCAAGAAAAGCAATGTTCCCTCCCTTGCTCTGCCCAGTTCCACCTCTACAACCTGTCTCCTGCACAGCTGAGGCCTGTGGCAATTGTAAACAAGAAAGCCTGGCTGTCCCTCAAGTTCAGAAAGGCAAGCCTGGGAATGAGACTGGGAACAACAGAGGGCTGGCCCGACCAGCTCTTCAGTCAATTCTTGCTTGGTGGTAGATTCGGCCTGATGATACACAGGGAGAACGCAAAGCCCTGAGTTACACAGTGAGGCAAAAACAGTGCCATTGCCCACACAGCTCACCACTTACCTGGAGGCAGCAGCAGCAGCCCCTGGCCTGATTCCCTGCCAGACCACTTCCCTGGGTGCTGGACCTTTGTCCTCATCTCTCCAAGTGGGCTGGTACTACTGGTCTTGAGCTCTCAGTTACTAGGGAAGTTCAACTGCAGGGGACCAGGAAGCAGGAGGAAGAGCCTCATCTTTGGGTTCCAATGGCTGCCGCCCTCTAGAAGTTCAACACCATTGGGCAGAGCCCCTTAACCCTGAGGCTCTGTTCCTGGATCTGTATTGTCTGGGTGTTACCACCCCCGAACAGGTGTGACGATGAAGGGCGAGGTCAGCACTCACTCAATAGGACATAACTTACCACTCACTGTGCCAGGCTGCCAGGTTCATGTTTCATGTTGAGGAAACTTCACACCACAGAGAAGCAGGATTTTAAGGACCACAACAGGATCATGAATTAGGCCCTGGCCCCACCCAAATCACTGTCCATTATCAGGAGCCATCCACCCCACTTCAAGCATCCTCAGCCCTTCATCCCTTTGCACTCAACTAGAGCCTTAAGGGCCAGGAAAAGGGAGCCTGCACTTGAACCTTTCACCAAAGCTGGATCCTTCATTTTACCAGAGTGTGTCCTACAGAGAACAGTCCATTACTGTGTGTGACAGAAGCATTTGTTTTTATTTATCCAAATGGGGAAAATGCAACATGTCAGGGCATTACACACAAACTGCAGCAGCCAGACAAGAGGGTCAGTCTATGGCAGAGTCCAACATACTCAGTGCGAAGGAGCCACAGTGTGGGTGCTGCCTGGAGGACTCGTGGCAGCAGGGTCCCTTTGGATGAAGGCCAGGCATTTCTGGGCGAGGCACTGATGACCATCCACATGTGCAGGCTGCTGCTTCAGTCACGCTGAAGGTTTAAAGTTCAGAGTCCTACATGTAATAATTGCCTCAGAGGGGAAGAACAGTCCATGGTGGTCACGGTTTCCAGTATTTTTAAACATGATACACAAAGTTATTGCCAAGGACTTTGCACTGCAAATTATACTATTTACACTTGAGTATTCAGAAAAACACAGTAAATAGATACATGATAGATATTTTAGATTTCTAAAAACTAACTTGGTCTTCACTAGACCAGAGTGAGCTACAGCCAGGAGTCCAATGTCATGTGTGTAACCGTGCAGTAGGGAAAGGTTTTCTATCCATGACTCTGCTCAGCCTTCTCCTGACTCCCTCAACCCTTGGGGCTAAGGAAGGGCTGGGGAGCAGGGCTACCTTACTCCTTAGTGTGAGGGCTTCAGGTCCAGACTGGCTGCACTTCCCACCTCCTTCCCAGACAGAGTTCTCCTTGGAGCGTGCAAGAAGCAAGTCCTACAGGCTCCACTCCTGCAGGACCACTACAAGGCAGGTAAGCCAGGACACAAAGGCATGGGGCTGTAGGGCTAATGGTATGATGAACTTGACCCTAGGCCAGCCCCTTCCCAGCACCCCCTGCCAAAGCACCCTTGGGAACAGGCCCATCAACCTCACTGTTCCTGGAAGTACAACTGCCCTAATTTATGGTTACCTCAGGAAACCTTGTGAAGAAGTGGCTGGGACCAACCAGCCACTGAGAGAGACCAAAGGTTCAGCACAACAGGCCAGACAGATGGTCCAGGATGAAAGGCCTGAGTCCAAAGATGCTTTGTGGAAAAAGGATAAACACCGCTAAGGGTTAAACTGTACAGTGTCTGCCCAAGGAAAGGACAAAAGCAGGGAGTTCCCATGTGGACCAGCTTTCATTTTGCCTCCATAAGCCTTGGTATGCTGGAAAGGATGTCCACCTGGAGGCTGGAGACAGCTTCCCAGAGAGCCAGAGCTACTCTTGATTCCTGGGAGGAGAGAGCAAGGCCCTCTGGTCGGATGCCTACAATTTGGCTCCCCAGTAGAGTTTCTAAAAATGAGCCCTCCTCCCCAGAAAAGGTACTAAACATTAGCAAAGCATCTCCCACAGCCATGGTAAGTCCCATCCCTGAGAAGCTGCCATATTAACTGAGCTAAGGGAAAAGCAGTGCTCAGTACCCCATCTAAGAAATGGGGGTGCGGAGTGAACAGAACCTGACTGCAAAGCTGGCCTGAGCATGAAAAGTGATTGGGGTAGGGAGAGGGGTGCGTCTAACAGCAGCACCTCTGGCCTATTTTACAGTCAGGGGAGAGAAGAGGTATTTTTGCAACCAGGCCTTGCCTGGCTACTTCCAAATCATACCTCATGCACTGGCCACCATCACTATCTTGGGGGTCAGGGCTGCAGCCTGCGAGCGCCAGAGAAGTGGTGTTTGCACACCAGAAGGCTTGGTAAGTGACATCTTTGTGCCTTGGAAATGTGTGTGTCTGGATTGAGTGTCTTGCCACTGACCCACCACACCAGAATCCCTAAGGGTGGAAAGCAGGAGCTACCCAGAACAGAGGAAGGAGGCTGGGAACCTAAAACACAACTTGTAAATTATGGGTGGAAAAGGAACTTCTTACCGCCTCCCTAGCTACCTTAAACTCCTATTCTTGATCCATATCCATGAACAATTAAAATAATCTGACTTGCAAAAACAGAAATATTTAGGTTAGAGTCAAGAAAACTTTCTGACCATCATGTTTCCCTAAGCACAGATGGTAAAGCGCCTGTGCCCATAGGCGGGGGCAGGGCTGGCTCTGGCAAGGCTCTGGTCTGTAACTAACTACACTGCCTGACAGACAAGAGCCTTCCTATGAAGCTGCAGCCACTGCCCATGACTGGCTGCCACATGAAAGGCCACACCTGGCACCGCAGCCAGGGACAGCTGCATTCTCTTTACCCGACATCCATCTATGCCAGGCTCCAGTTTGTCACTTTCCCTTCCATAAACCCAGAAACTCCTCTAGAATTTACAAGGGTGCTCCTTAGACCTGAGAAGTTCCACACCTACCATCAGAGCCTGAGAGCACTCTATGCCCATAAGAGGAGAACCAGGCAGCAAACTCCGAGAGCCACTTCCAAACGAGAGGGAGCCCGGCAAGTCTAAAGACAGCAGCCACCTGGGGCAACTCCTCCTTCTGTACCCCTCACCAGATTCTCAGAGACAATCAAAACAACTTCATCGAGAGTAAGTAGCACCCGGTTCCTTAAGTGTTCAGTGGCTTCCTGCCTCTCCAGGTCCTTCCAGGCTGGTCAGAGCACAGCACACCTCCCTCCTGCCTTTCCCCACACCTGGCCCGACTGTGCTAGGGCAGCACTGTGGTCCTCACTTCCTGACTCTGTCCCAGAGGGCCAGAAACAAGGTTGGCCTGTGAAAGGGGGTTCACAGTGCAGAGATGCCAGCCCAGGCTTGCTCCCGCTTCCTCAGCATCATGGGACAGCTGTGTGAAGCGGGCCACCACCTACCAGCTCAGGCAGGTGGGGACAAGGACCTTCCCTTCTCTGAGCTGCATTGATCACCTACCCCACAGGGCTGCTGGGCTTCACCGAATCCGCACCTGCAGAGGCACTTGTATTGGGCCCTGCCTCTCCAGCCCTACCCACCCCTTCAACCACGCACACTGTGCTGCTGCCACTGCACAGCAACAGTAGCCACTCCCAGCTTTCGTTCATGTCCAACTGGCAGCAGCTCACGTCCCTGGCACCTCTCCAATGCTCTGAATGGAAGCTCCCTTCGACGTGCCTAGAAACCCCTGTAAGAGGAAAGACTGGAGAGCAGACAGTGCTATAAACATCTGTGGGTTTTTTCTTCACCCAGCTACACTGAGCATTCCTCAGTGCAGCCACCATGTCTGATTCACCTCTATCTCCCTACACCTGATGTCAGGCCCAGCCCAGAGCAGTCTACCCCCAGCAGTAGTCGCTTCACCCTCCCTTAGTAGCTGGCAGCCTCTGGAGAGGAGAGGCTAGCATCTCTGCTTCTCTGAGGCCTGCTGGCCAAGGGCCCAAGGGCATGTACAAAGGAAGCAACCTGTTCCATAAAGCATTCCCACCATGTGACTTGATTTGGAAGCAAGGGGCAGCCTGTCCTCGCCCCTTTACCTTCATATGCTGAGGAGGCCCCAAGCCAAACTTTGGAGACAGAATCTTTGTTTATCCTGCCCTTGTAAATGATCTTTAGGATAGCAGGAGAGAAAAAGCCTGAAGAAGGAAGATTCTGTCAAGCTCTGCCAGGTCAAAATAAAGGTGGGGCCCTCACTGCCCAATATAAGCCAGTGGTCAGAAAATCTGCCCAGCTCTCTGGGCCTATCTTTCCCACTCCAGTACCAAAAATACCTTGACCAAAAAGTCCAGACTAAACTGAAAGTATAATTTATAACCACAGACATGGTCCTCCATAGCCAGTGACATTTCTAATCAGCATTTGTGATCACATTACCCTCCTGAGCACAACTGTCTGATGGCTCCTTACTGCCTGGAGAATCCAGTCCACCCTCCTGGCCCTTTCCCAGCGGACCCCACATGCCTGTGTGACTATGCAGAAGTTCTCATTGTCGGACACAATCTCACCCATTGCCTGGTCCTGTTTCCCTTCCTGGAGACGCAGCCTACTCCTCTTCTAAGACCCTGCTCCAGAGCAGCCTGCCTTCGGGGCTTTCCTGACTCACCTCAGCCCTTCTCTTGAAGACCCTGTCACCTTGGACTTCCCTGAGCCCTGTTCTGTATTATGCTCTTTAGCCACCTGCTCTCCTCTTTCAGTGTCCCACGTGTCACTCAAAACCCAAGTTTCATATGGGCAGGAACTACATCGCCCTGTGCATTGAGTCAGCGTTCACACAGAAGAGATGCTCAGAAAGCCTCTGTGGGGAGGTGGATCATGATTAAGCCAAAAGGCAAGTCATGTCTCAGGGGTTGGCGAAATACAGCCAGCTTCAGCAAAATGCCTCTTACTTTGCAGGGGTTGGCAAGCTGCAGCCCTGTGTATGTGAAAGTGAAGCGCTGCTTTTGTGCTTCAATGGCAGAGCTAAGCAGTTGCAGCAGAGAGCACATGCTCCATAAAGTCTGAAATGCTTACTATCCGGCCCTTGACAGAAAGGACTTGCAGACACAAGTCCTTTATATTTAAATTACCATATATTTTCACCTTTCACCTCTTTGGAGGTGAGATTTGTGTGGCCTGCTGAGTAACAGTCAAGGCTGCTTGCAGCTAAGAGACACCTGGCCCTGGAGTTCTGGCCACCCAAAGGCTGACCGGATCCGTATCCACAGCTGCCACCTGAGCCACAGTCCCCAGCAGCGCTGTAGAAAACAGGTGCAGAAACCCACACTGGACTTCAGTTCTCCCCATCCATTTTGAAGCAAAGGTGGCAACACTGGGACAGACACAAAACTGACACCCGAAACAAATCCTCCGGTCATCTCACAATATCATGGTCTTTTCCCTCCCTTAAAGAACTTTGGAAGCAATGTCCACACCTTCACACAGGCTGAAGACTGTGTTCCACAGATGCTGAATCCAACAAGCTCCAACCCTTGCTTAGGTTAAAAATGGATTAACTTTTTGCCAAGCAGAAGGCCTCAGCATGAACAACCAGCCGGTACCTGTGACTCCTGGCTGGAGAGCCCAGGCCGGTAGAAACTCAGGGAAAGGATGAAGATGCTGAAAGGTTACAAGTCCCTCCCTACCCACTGACAACAGAGACGCTGGAGCTCTCCAGCACAATGCAGTGTGGCCTACAAAGCCCCCATTTCCTAGCCAGGTGGAGATGGCCCTCGCTCCGTTCCATCTCCTCTATGCCCGTCAGTATCTTCCTCTATTCCCCTGTGCTTCCCCATCCTGGTCAGAGACACTATTGTTCTCTCCATTGCCCACTGAGCAGTGGTCCAGGAGAAGTACTCCAGCAGGTCTCCCTCCCCCGGATGGGTGCTGTTGTTCCTTGGCCCAGGGTTGGGGGCCATCATCTTCCTGTCCCTACCCAGTCTGGCAGAGGAACCCGGCCTGTGAGGAGATGCCATTCCTGCCTCACCATCCCTCTGCTGCCGTGATCCATCAGCATCCCTCATGCCTTGCCTGCCTGATGGCAACAGCATCTTCCTCATCAGTGCTCCTGACTCTGGTCCTTGGCTACCCAACTGTCCCAATCCACCCTCTGAACTCTCACCATCGTGGATGATAGTAATCACTCAAGGACATAGCACCCAGGGCCTTTCAAGAAATGGCTGCAGATTGTTGTGTCCCACCTGCCACTTCACTCTGCTAACCATTTCACTTTCCCCAGCAAGGCCCTTCATGCTCTCCAAGTGGGTGCACTCTCTCTGCGCACGCCAGGCCTCTCCTGACTCCCCTCCTGGGCATCCCCCATCTGTCTCAATGGGAAGCCTGTAACTCTTGGTAAGTTACTCAATAAGCACTTCCATTCTGAGGCCTGGCTCCTCTCCTGCACTCGGTGGGAGACCTGGGAATGGGCGTGCCAGCCCCCAGCCCAGGGCCAGTGAGGAGCATCCCTAGCAGGGAGGGGGAGACCCGCTGAAGCCTTTCTCCCTGCACAGAGGAGGACTCTCATTCTGTCCAAATCCCCTGAAAATCTTTCACCCCCTCCCTGTACTCTCCATCTGGGTCAATGATTTCACTTTCTACTCAGTTGTCTAAGCTGCAAATTTTGACATTTTCTCCAACTGCTCCTTCTCCCCCAACACAGAGTCTGGTAAAAAGCAGTAGGTGACAGTGAATGTTTTCTCTATAAATCTATGTGCCCAAAAAAGGGAGACATGGTCTTGGCAGTGTCACCAACCACATCAGAGTTCATCTAAACTGACATTCCACAGAAGAAATTCCTCTTCGCCATCCACACAACTGGCTTCTTGCTTGAACATGCCCATAACGGGGAGCTCCCATCAAACCTCAGCTGCTCTCCCACGGCCACTTGCTCTGTCATCCCCGGTGTATGTTAGCTCAAATTGCCCACTGGCGTCCCATAATTGTCTTTTACTCTTTGGAACCACATACAACAAATATAATCTCTTAAAAATACCTGACGGGAGTGCCCATGTTCTCTCCAAGTCTCCGCTTCACCAGCCTCCACCTTCTGGTCCACCTCATTTCAAGGTGCTTTCAGCTTTCCTGAGTTCCCCAGGCGCCCATTTCCATAGGTTTTTGACCTCCCAGATGATGCCTACCATATTCATTTAACATAGCCTCTGCAGGAATGAAGGATTTTAGAGAGCTGAGCAGCTTCCAAGACCACCTACATGACAGAAGCATCCTAGGAGATCCCAACACCAGATTGCTCTGGAAAATGTGCTACTGTGACGGTGATCCCGTGGGTTAGAGCACGTTTGAAGGCCTAGCCAGGAATGGAGGATGGCCAAAACCAAAACGTGGATGAGGCTGAACATAAAACACACACTCCAGCAGCACATCCCCACCCCCCTCCCACCCCTGAGGAGGTCTCCAAATGGCAATCACTGAATTTGCACTTTATTATAGGGTTCATTTTCAGTATAAAATGATCATCTGTGGAAACTGACCACAACTGTTTGGCAAAAAAATACAAAACAAAACAAAAAAATGGGCTGCCTGTCCTAGGACTAACCAGTTGGTCACCTTACCCAGGAGCACATGACAAAGGAACCAGAAAAAGAATGAGTCCAGAAAGTCTGGATTTTGGAGGGCTGGGGAAGGATCAGGGAGATGTGAGTTGGTTTTTGCTTGATTTGTTTCAAGACATACAGGGGATAGCCCAGAATCCTGAAGGGAAGGTGAGCAGAACACATCACAGAGGGGAGAAGCCACTGCTGCCACCTGGGCTTGGAAGAGAGAACATTGGCCGGCACTAGCGACACAAACCACCTGCGCAGAGCACAGCCTCAGACTGCATGAGTGCTGCCACTTACAGTGCTATAATTTGGGGCAAGTCACTTTAAGCATCTATTTTCTAATCTGTAAAAGGAGAACATTTCTAATTCTACCGTTGTGGTGAAATTCAAAACTAATTCCTCAGAAAGGGCTACTGTTAACTCTAAAAACATCTAAGAAATGTTATTTCTTCTTGTGTTTAAAAACTAATTAGGAGCCACAATGTTTTGCTACAAACCAGCAGGTGGTTTGGAGAGATCTCTGGGCTCCAGTCTCCCTGTCTGCAGAGTGGGAAAAGCAGTCTATGCACCGCTGCTTCTCCAAGACCCACCAGTAGAGCAAGCCATGAAATGACAAGTGGGAAAGGACCTGAGAGAGTACTGCGTTCTACGAATGCCAGGCGCTCAGTCTCCCCAACACAGTCACGCTCTAGAACACGACCACCTCAGTTTTCAAAGGTTCCTTTCTCCCACTCCCTTCCAGGATTACAGCAGGGTGCACAGAAACATTGTCAACTGCCAAGAAAGATGATGACCTGGGGTGCGTGAGGAATACCTTTCCCTAAAAGGATCCTGCACCCATCACCACACCACCCCCCGACACCCCCACCCACACCTAAGCAGAGACCCAGCTGTCATTCATTAGCCAAGAAGCTGGTAAAGTGGTTTACAGCAGCAGAATTTTCAGACAAGTTCAGCAGAGTGGTTCACAGGCAGCAATTAGAGACCCCAAAGCCATCCAAGCAGGGCTTACCATACACGGGTCCAACTTAGAGGGAACACAATGGACTTCAGGCTGGCAGCCTGCCCTGAGGCCTACTCCAAGGGGAACGCGTGGCCATGACAGCCAACCTCTGCAGTCTGCCACTGCCCCATCTCTGCTGAGTACTTGGCCAGGGACACCTTCTTGCACTTATACCACAAGCCTGGGCTGCTGCCCCTCTATGCTCCTCTTCCTTGTACCCAGTGAGCCGAACCCTCACCTGCCTGCCTTCAGAGTCTGGCTTAAATCATTGAAGACATCCTCATGACCTATCACAGGCCAGGCACAGACAAGCACTCAGAAAAGATAAGCTAAGTGAAAAAACATACCTCAGGATTTCATTGAAATTCAAAGAGAAAAATAAACTTTGAATAAAAATGCTTCCTCTGTTTATACAGATGAATGCAGTTGTTCAGTCTATCTTTCTGGTACATTAAATACTTCTTCATGATCAGTTTAAATGAAAATATCCCTTTTTTAGGCCAGGTTTTCTGATTTGGAGTCATCTCAAGTCAGAGGGCTTGGCTTCCAGCAGAGCCCATCCTGTCAGCCCCAGCCGTTTAATCCATAGCATGACAGAACAGAAAGAGGCTTTAGAACAGAGCTAGGTTCCATTAATGTGTCTAGCACGTAACTTGGAGCATCAGTTTCTTTGGTAAAATAGGGATACTACTACTTCCAAGAAAGTAGTGGAGAAACAGAAGGATGTCCAAGTGCCTGGCACACAAGATACAAACGCCGCTCTCTCTCCTTCCCCTGCCCTTCCTGCTGCTTCAATCTACTGCTGCCCCAAATGACCTAAACTGAGGCTACTATTCACCTCATTACTTGGCGCATTTAGCTGACACTTGAATGGAGAGAGCTTTTGTCCAGTGCTGAAACTGCCTGGGTAAACAGCAGCTATCTTCACCCTGCCCACCAGCAGGATGGCACAGTTCATTTGAAGAAACGACAAAGTTCTGCCAAGAGAGACCAAGACGCTCCTCAGAAGGAGTAATTAGAATGTTAACAACTGATCCATCAAAGCAAAAAAAAAAAAAGGAGTCCTCCCTCAATGCTGGCTGAATGAGGCAAAGATTCCACCAAACAGCCTCCTCTGGGAGGAACACACTAACTTTTGCCAGGGCATTAGCTATACACATATTTCTTAGATTTAAGAAAAACGTCTTGACTACAATGCAAATCTTCTTTACCTCCTTAAAGGTAACACTCAGTTCTTGGCTACACACAGTTTTGATAAACTTAGAGCATCTGAGGGCTCAATCTATGTTCCCCACTTAGCTCACCTCTTACCATCTGCCCACCTTTCTGCAGAGGCTCCTGTCTTTGTAGACACAGATGCACACTCTCTACTTAACGCAACAGCATCAGTTGCATCACGTACCCATTTTCCTCTTATCGAAAAGCAACTTCCCAACTGTGTCCAGATAAATGGATAAGTAAATGGACAAAGACAAAGATGAATAGATGGGCAGACATGTTTTCTCTAAGATTTATAGGCAGAAGGGAGGCCTCATATGGTGAGAAATGTAGATTTTTTCCCCTAAAAGTATCAAAGCAAACTATAAGGGACAAGCTATAGGAGTGCTTTTCAGAGAAGCATCCTAGTCAACAGCCTTTTAAGCACACAAGTCAGTTTCTTCCTTTCCTTTCTGTGTTTTATAGTTTCTTGCTTTCTAACTACTAAACACTGGTAAGTCCCCGAGGTTAGATTCCGGAGACAGCTGTAATGACACACCTTTCTTTAAAATTACTTCACTGGGTGGACACTTGGACTCAGCAGGTGAATATTCTATGATCAGCCCTTGCACCCTTTAATCCTCCACAAAAAAACAAGTATTTGCAAACCCTTGGCAGCAGACGGCTGATAATTTAATGACTGTAACAGACACATCGGCGATTTCCTTAAGCTTGGATCTGCAGCAACCTCACCACACTACCTCTCACCAGGTCTTTGGGGGCTGTTCTTTGTCCAACCCCTAGATACCAGGAGTCCTCTCCCAAAGCCTGGCAGAAGCCAACACCTATCAGCACCAAGGAACCGAAACAGCTCCACCCTCAGCAGGCTGCACCTGCCTCTCAAACACCTGTTGGCACAGCCTTGCCCTCTTCACATTCATCCTCACCTCGGCCAACCATGGTAAGAACAGTCAACATTTACTGAGTACTTACTATGCACCAGGTACTGTTCAAAACACTTTATGTGTATTAACTCATCTAATTCCTGAGCCCCATGGGAATGTGCTGGAGGGAGAGAAATTCTTTGGCCCAGATTCCCACATGGTTTCTATTCTCTATTTCTAGTTGTGCTGTAAAGCTTACATAACCTAATTTGCATTATAGTACTATTTTTAAAAACCTCCAAAGATCGCTGCTTCAAAGCATCAATGGAATCTGTTAGCTCCTACCTAAAATGATAATGTGGGAAAGGATATCTATTCTTACAACCAACCTAACTGGAATTCTTGACTTAAAACAGTCTTTCAGGAAGATGCTATTAACAAAGGAAGGGACTCATTCTTATATAAATACTAGCTCAGTGCTCTGTAAACAAGGGCTAGAGAGAAACACATCAATATTGAAACCCACCTCAGCAGTAGTTTCTGGCTCTGCAGTTGTTGTTCATTTACCACCCGTCCCCTTTCCAGGACTCCTAATAACACTGAGAAGCCTGTGGTCACTAGACAGCACGGCGTCAGACTGTAGAAGAGTATGAGTTTGAAAACACAGAACATTTCTCATTCTGGATGGTTCAGAAAGAGCCCCAACCCTCTCTCAGGAGGCACTGGCATAAGTTGAATGGGAATTAGGGGAAGACCATTCACAGAGCAGGTTGTTTTCAGCTTTAACTGCTGTTAATGTCCCTGGTGTACAGGGCTCTAGAAATCTAATTGCTGGGTGGAGGCAGGGCAGGCAGCCAGGATCTCCTTAGTTCTTTCCCCTAAGTCACCGCTGAAGATTTTCCTCCAGTTATTAATGAAATCTTTAAGAAACAGGGAAGTAAGGGTGAAACCTTCCTCATTTGTCATTTAAAAAAAAAAAAAAACGTACTCAGTGTTTAACCACTTTGTCTGTTGCTATACTATAAAAACTACTTGGAAAAGACTGGAGTCTTTGTTATTCATTTCATTACATTTACTTACTGGACAGAGGTCCATGAACATAAACCAGAGTAGGTTTTCAGGCTCTCCAAACTGCCAGGGAAATATTTTAAATGAGTGAATTTCCAAGTCACACCTATTTTGGTGATGTCAGAGGGCCTACATTATTAAATAATTTATAATTAATAACTAAGCTAACATTTTTTTGCCACAGTTAACAAAATATTTGTTTCTCAAAGTAGGATATTTGTAATAGGCCCAATTCCAACAACAAGGAGACTCTCCAAATTAAAATGCTTCCACTGGTCACAGCCTCTGTTCACTTGTACCCAGAAGAGGACCTGGCACCTGATAGGCACTGGGCTGTTTCGGCAGGACTGGATTGCACTCAGTACTAGTCAGCTATGCCTCGTACAACCTTGTAAAGATGCCAGAGCCACATTCAATGTACATACAGATTCTGCATGGAAAAAACGAGAGTTGTCCCAGCAACTTTAAAGTGAGTAATCAAAAGAAACTGCTACTTAGAAACAAATAGGAAACATGAAATTCATTTTAATCTATATATATCAAATACAGCCTTAGCACATAACATCTAACACAATTAAAATGCATTTATGGGACACACCTAAATGAAGCAAATCTTTATTTAAATATCTGGCCTAACCCTCACATCTTTACATGAATGAACTCTATGATGGCTGAGTAAGGTGGGAAATGAATAATCTAGCTACCTAACTTGGAAAAGACAGATAGATTGCTTTAAGTCTATTTGGTCTCTGTAGACTCGATATTCACCACCCCAAGTCTTGCTAAAGATGGCTCTGCAAATAATTAGCTTAACCCAGTCAATTATATACTTTTCCATAGTTACCATAATATTTTGTTTTTGTTTTTGTTTTTTCATTTTCTATTGCTTTTTTTTTTATGGCTTCTTGCTGTTGTTGTATTAGGGCATACAACACAGATCAGAGACTTTCATTTCTCTGAGAGGTTTCTCTCCTTGAGAAATTGGCACTTTGATCCTCAGCCTGTCTGACAGCTCACACAGACGGATCCTACCAGCACTGTTACCAACCTTGCTGCTTAGGAAATTCCACTGCTTTGGCCAAAAGAGTGCCCTGTCATTAAAATCTTATTAGAGGAACTGTTCCTATCACTGAATTCTTATACTTAAACAGGTATGTGTGGGTAATTTACATACATGTTATTCCCTAAGTTTCTACACACACACACACACACACACACTCTCTCTCTCTCTCTCTAATTCAGTGTAAGTGAAATGTCTCTCTTGAATAAAAGTTGTTACAAAGATATTAAAACAAATGTTGAAAAATAACTACTTTACATTTAGACCATACAATTTTTAAAGGTAATGCGATGACATATGACCTAAGAGATTAAATACATCATATATGATTGTCATATATGCATGTTGTGTTAATTATTTTTCTCTTTAATCAGAAAATAAAAGAGCTTACCTTTGTATACTGAGATCACAGCTTACAGTCACTATATCTCAGCCTATTTTATACAAGTGATATGGCTACGAAGGTCCGAGGAGAACGAGAATAAAGTGAGATAAACGTGCTGAAAACTGCTTAAAAGTATTAACCTGAAATACACAGAGGGTCCAACACCAGTTTTAAAAATACATTAACGAGGTATTCTCAGCTCTTCAATTAATAACGGTGGCTGATTCATGATTTTCAAACATTCACCCAAAATTTAAAAAAAAAGAAAAGAAAAGAAAATGCCAATACCAGCAAAATCTATTGTGGTTGGTTCCCCAGGCTAACAATTTGAGAGAGACTACAAACACTTCAGGAACTATGTAAACTCAGCTCCTTGTTCACCACCCATGCACTTCATCTAGTCAGCATGAGGTATGTTGGAAATGTACTGGACCAATTACCTTGCACAAGAGATGGGGCACTCCTGCTGCCTGAAGCAACACAGGCTGCAAGCCACATCCCTGGCTAGGCGCCAGTCCCCATGCAGAGGATATGGCTTCAAGGAGGACTCCTATCTCTGAGAAATTATAATAGCGCTAACTGACGCAGTCAGGAATGTAACTATTTATGTGCTAAAAAAGTGTAAAAACTGTCAGAACATAGCACAGCTCACACACTAATTCTAAGCTCTACATTGATCCATAAACTCCCTGACAAGAAACTACGCTAAAAGGGGTTAAGTACAGATATTGCTAGGTTTCTAAAGGAAAAGTTTTAAAACAGACACCGTGGCTTTGAACAAAGTATTGCTCTTCTTTAAAATGATCAGTCATTGCTTTCAAAAGGAAGGTGTCAGAGTGGTGTATCTGAAAGCTGGATAGCCTCAGGGTGTCACATTACTCTTAAGACCAAGACATAGAAATTGCCATTTCAAGCCAGACAACCTGATGGTTCTAGAAGTCAGAGAAGAAATCTTGAGGGCCCAAGTGAATAATAAATGGTGCGACGCTCAGAGGCTGGCAATAGGGGCTGTCAATGAAAAAACCACCTACAGTGGAGAAAAGAGCAGAGAAGCAAAACTTTATGTTAATTTCAGGCAAATTCGTGAAGCCAAGAGCTTCATTTATATTTCTCTGCTCTTTCAGCTGTAAGTGGAATTTTCATTACAAAATGAAAGGGTGGGAAGGGCAACAGGTGGGGGGACACTTAATTCATTACGGAATTTAAACAGTTGAACTTGCATGGTTACCACTTCTAACAAAGGACTGACAGCTCGATTATTTTAAGTAAAGCAGAGAAATGTAAAAGTTTGCAGCAACTGGGCAGGTTTACAACATGGTTAGTAACTTCCAACAAACAACAAAATTAAAAAAAAAAAAAAAGACTTGGTAGAAACCATTTGAAATGACTGCCATCATGGTGGAAAACAGCACAGCTCCCTTTTCACCATTACAGAGGGCAAGAGTCATGAAGCAGAGTCAGCTACTTCAAAAGAATTTTCTAATGAGAAATCTCTAGAGAGATTCCAACTTGGAATCCAAATTTGATGACCAATTTCAAATAACAATACAGCTGCAGCTGCCAATTAATAGTATTCCAAAGACAATGAAGACTATTGGAAATATTTAATTAATAAAAACTGGACACTACAGCCATGCTTTTTCTTCTCAGTGATGGCTCTGTTTCATCCATAGGTCAGCAAAACGCATCAATGAAACATGAAAACTCCCAGCTGAAATGGGCCCTCTTATTTATGTCTAGCCACTAATGCACAGGATGAGAATGATAAGTTACAGCTATTTCCAGCAAGTGATGAGGTTTTATTAAAGTATCACCCACCACTAATAAAGACAAAAGACCAAGGAGAAGAAACAAACTATGTATCTGAGAAGTGACACTAACATGTGTTGTATATTGCCCATTTCACCTTTGTTTAGTGGTCCCAAAGAAATTTGGTATACAAATTTGCCATATTTTGTGAAACCCATTCTCATGGATGGGTCCTGTCCAGTTCCCAGAAGCAGAATTTAATAGGGAAAAGGAAAGTGAATTCATACTAAAAACAGACAATTTTAAGACGTGGTGCCTATAATTTGACAAGGGACCACACTGTTGCTCCTTCATGGGGGTGAGTACCTTAATGAAACCATTTACCTTCTAGTAACATCATTGGCTTTCCAAACAAGGTGAGAATGCAAGTGGAGGACTTCGGTCTGCACCCTTTACAGAACAGCACAATGTTACTGACTGATCCATTTCCACCAGCATAATCAGGTGTCTTAAAAATAAATGCTGACCCATGGCTGAAACCTGTCACTTTTCACAGCAGCACTCAACAAGAACTGGGACAATTGAAGAGCAAGTTTTTATGGGGACCCTGTTGCTGCTTTAGATTCTGATGTAATTGAAGAGGAAAGGAGACCCTTCAATGAATCCCAGCAAAATCGCTAATCTTCTATCTGCATGAAAAAAGCCAGGGAGTGAACACAATATCTTACAGAGTGAAGAAGGCCACAAGAACAAAGGAGGGTGATTGATTAATTTATTATTATTTTTTTAAACTTGGAAATTCATAAACTAAAATAATCACATTCTCCTTCCCCATCTCTGGGTAGTGCCATCATTTGAATAAGCAATGCTCAAATAACAGAATAGAACCCTTATCATGGGGATGCCCTTGTTCAACAGGAGTACAGAGGGCTTACAGAGTAAGTAGACTGGCTCGAACTAACCATCACCTTTGCTTTGAATTTTAGCAGTTTGCTTACAAGTGAATGGGCTTCTAGGGCTAAGTTATTAGTTTTCAATTCCTTGTAATTTGATACCAAAACATATCAAAAATAATAAGCTAAAACAATATTCAAACCCATATTTTATTGGCTTTATTACACACTTCAATATTTACAAAGTTAAGGTTTAACTGAAAAGTCTCTATTGTATTAAAAAAAATAACTACAGCCCAAATTAAAGTGCCCTGGGGCAAATACATATCAATTAACTAAGAATTAGTGACTGCATCAGGAACCAGGCAGTACTCTGTGTTACAACAAAGCAGTTTATTTGTGATCAGTGTTTGAGACTCTATACATCCTTCACAAATTTACTTTTACATAATCTGATACGTCTCTTAAAACTTAAACTTTGAACTGCTAGACTTTAATTTCCCTTTAACAGAGGGCTGGTATAAGTTATTTTCCAGAAATGAGGTACCGTTTTCACAGAACTGGTTTCTTTTTTTTTTTTTTTCAAGTTTTAGAGAACTAAATTTGCATTTGTTAAAATCAAAAAGTAGGAAAGATGTTCTTTACAAATAATTTTGATCAAGTATGTGTTCAAAGAAAGCAGGATAAAAAGGCTTTTTCTCTAACATTCTGTATTGTACTGTATTGTTGTTCAATAGGAATTAGCTTCTGTCATTTGCTAAAAGAATGAGTAGTGGGGAACAGGATATGTTGGAAATTTCATAACGGGCAACAGAACCATTCTCTTGGGTAAACCTACAGAGGAAAGAAACGGAGAGGACTCCAAATAAGTTTAATACTCCAATAAAAATTTCAGGTAAAAAAATATCTTAACAGTAATTATCATTAACCTTTTCCAGATTAGTCAGTCAACATTATACCATTTTACAAGAGGCCTGCAAATTGCTCACAGATCTATTCTGAAATTGCTCTTAATATTTTGATAAATAATATTTTCCACTCAAAATCAGGATGGCTACATCTAGGAAGCAATTTCATTGAGTGAGCTGCCATGAATTCTAAAAACCAAAAGCAATGCTGTTGAGTAATGTTCTAAATTAACTGTAGAAATCTATATTAGTTCTCAATTTGGCATATTGCATATTACAAGAGAAACAGGAATTACCAAGATTCAAAGCACGGTTTTCCCTGCAGACCTCAGCTCCAACTGGAGCCATGACCAGGCGTTTAACTCCTTAATGGCTATTGCCAATATTGGCATGGCAAATCTGGAAAGATTAATTACTCTCTGAATTTGTAATTAATACGTTCTTGTGGCCTCACAAACTTCTGCATACTCAAGCATGATTTGAAATCTGCTTCTATTAACTAGTCTAGTATTTAACCTATGGAGAAATCACAAAGCAGCAACAGCAGGTATTCAAGAGCACCAGATGATCAGAGGGAAATTACCCCACATGCAACAGCTTTACAAAGGCCAAAAGACATATTTACCTTACAGCCAAAATAAAGCATTGTTTTAGTAGGTTTGCATCACAGTAACATTTAAAAACCAAATCTTTTATGTGAAAAATGGGGGCATCAAATTTCACCAGCTTTGGAAGTCAGTTATATGGCACATGGAAGAGAGGAGCTTTCTTATGTAGGAGCTCAGAGGCCCCAAGGGTGAAAGTATAATGTTAAAGAAGGAAAGGGAGGAACAAGAGAGGAAAAAAAAAGACCGAGGAAAAACATGAATGTTATTTAGAATCTAGATATAAAAATGTTTTAAAAGGAAAAATCAAGCTCTAGCAAACCTTTACTAAAGGATATGAAACTTAGTTTATGTCTAAAGAAAGAGAGACTTTTACCTGCCCCAGGTGGCAGACACTTTGGCACTTACATAAGACACAGTACAGTGAGTCTAGTGAGCCAAAATGTATTTGGACAAACTGACCAGACCTAAGTCACAGAAAGGATGAGGTGGTCAAGATACCCAGAAGCCAGCTGAATAGTTAAAAGCAAATGGCCAAACCCAAAGGAACTAGAGAGTTTGAATAAAAAAGGAAATGTGGGTAAACTTATTATTGCATTAGTCACCAATTCCTAGTTACCCCATATGGCTCCAGCTCAAAATATGGGGAAGCCTTGACCACACCTGAATGTGCCAGAGGATGTAATGGATATAGCTCCAGGCTCTGCACTTTGCTTAAAAGAAAATCTGCTCCAAATGTTTGACCCTTGTACCTTCACATCTTTCTAGGATATAAACTATTTTAATGGGCAAAGTGGTCAAACTATTCACTTTCTACTTATGTCCACAGTTACGAAACCAGAGGCAGCTTCAGTTTAGCAGTGTTTTAGGAACACAATTTTCATCCAAACAAAAATGGCAAAGCAGATGTGTGAAGAGAAAAAGCACGATATGAAGGCAGAGGACTCATGTAGAGGACTAATGCCAAAGCTGGCAATAGAGAAAAGGCCTTTCCCTTCTGTGTGCATGCACACCCAGCCTAGGGCATGCTGACACACACACTCTTGCACACACACTCTCTCATGCTCTCTTCTTTCAACGACACATCCTGCAGATGGCTGATTCTGTAACATGTAGCACCTGAGTAGGAAAAATGTCTAAGAGCATATCACTGACTCCAAACCTATTGCCTCCATTGCCACATAAACCTCATTCAAAAGTTATCCAAAGGGCCACTGGGATTCATTTATGCATTTGCTTTTATTTTTTATTTTGGAGGGGAGAAGAGAAACACCTATGATATTCTAACATGTACTACAGACTTCCTGCAGTGAGCACTTAAGTAAGGCTGTGCTGGTGAAACCCTCTATCACTTCCTCTGTAGGACCAATGATACCCATTTACTTCAACCCAGAAGCAAAGTTATGGAAAAGAATGAAAGTACAAATTTGAACTGAGCAGTTCCTACTCTTATCTTAAATTACCCACAATTCACACGGTTCCAAAACAGAAACTTAAGTGTAACATTATAACTGGTAAGAAGGCAAGCTAGCAACTGGGTATGGCCCTTCAGTAGCCTTTGAATGGAGTATCAGTTGGCTGTAAGAAGAACTACTTAAAAGATTTAATTTCAATATGGTCAGAAACAGGCAATTAGAACAAGCAGTCCTTCAATCAGGCAAAGCAGAGAGAAGAGCAACTCCAACCAAACCAAGAACCACAAGGTTGTGGCATTTTCAAAGAGAATTTAAGTTGGGTCACTAGAATGAGTAAGTCTGAGATCCTCCAATTCATTTACAAAAACCCTAGATACAAACTGTGCTTTGGATTCCTGTGACAGAGTCGCTAAGAGGAGATATCAGTAAGATGGTGTACATACCATAGGCAGGGGCAGCTGTGCTGTAACCATATGGTGTTCCATAGCCTAGTGCAAAGAAGAAGAAGGCAGATCAGTCCAAGACCCAGGGCAATCATCACTGGCCCAATTCACAAGCACCACCTGCTCAGCATCCTGGGCCCTGAGGACTTCTTCCAGGTGCTGGATGAATGAGAACCACTGACAGAGTAGTGGTCCTAGTCTAGCCACTCACTGTGTGCCTGCTTAAGATGTGGAAGCTCCTAACCATGGCCTACAGTGCTCTCCTAGATATACCAGACTATTCTACATCTCTTTCTCACTGCACTTACCCACACTCTATTATAACTGTCAACTCCTTGTCTGTGTTTCCCACTAGAGTGGCAGAGACCTGGTCAACCTCATCTGTTGCTGCAACATCTGAACCTAGCAGAATGCATGAGATATAGTAGCCACTCACTAAATATAATTTGTTGAACAAAAGAATGTTTAAAACCCTCCAGCTACCAATTTCTCAAAGTTGGCAAACAGAACTTTCCAAATCTCGTCAGAAAGTAGTGAGAGAGCAGGCTGAGGTCTCAATGGCCACTAAAAAGGGCACATGAGTCAGGTCGTGAGCCCAAGAGCAAGGTTTATGACTTGCTGATATTTCAATTTCCAGCCCAAGTACAGGGTCTCTGTAAATGCTTCTGGTGCCTATAAAAAAGGCTCATATTATTAAGTAAAAGCAAGACGTTTTTATACCATATTAGTTTGGGCACTAATTTCTGATATGTCCTTAGAGAATTAATTTGAGTCACCATTTTCTCATCTGTCAAGTTGGAAACCACCCAAGCTACTTTATAATGTCACTGTAGGGATTAGAAACATTATCTATGTTAGCAGAAGTTGCAATCTTTACTTTTAGTAAAACAGCTTAGAAATAGGTAATATGTAAATAAAAATCACTTGGGGCCAGGTGTGGTGGCTCATGCCTGTAATCCCAGCAATTTGGGAGGCTGTGGCAAGAGGACTGCTTGAGCACAGGAGTTAAAAGACCAGTCTGGGCAATATAGTGAGACCCCATCGCTACAAAAAAAAAAAAAAATTAGCTGGGCATGGTAGTGGTGCATGCCTATAGTCCCAGCTACTTAGGAGGCTGAGGTGGGAAGATCACTTGAGCCCAGGAGGTGGAGGCTGCAGTGAGCCATGATCGCACCACTGCACTCCAGGCTGGGCAACAGAGAGAGACCATGTCTCAATAATAATAATAATAATCACTTTTCATTTATAAATGAAAAAAATTTTTATTTTAAAGTAGAAAAAGGGCACAAAATTGTCATGGCAACTTTACACAGTACCCAAAACAAATGGAGCTTTCTCACATTACAACTCCATTTTTTGGTAACCATTTCTGCTGTTCAGAATGATTTTGTTCCCTCCTTCTCTAGATGACCAACTGCAACTCACCCTTGAGACCAGGATCAAATATCACCTCCTCTAGGAAGTCTCCCAGGTTTGCTGTTCTCTCTTTTGCCCAACCCATTTTACACTTGCATCCTATTGCATTGTGTTTATTCAATTCTCTGGTCCTACCCCAAGCAGGGGCAGAGGCTACAACTTCTTTTAATGCCCAGTTCTTAATCTCCTGTTTGAGACAGTGCATGCAAATGTATGCTGAAGAAGTAAACTGCTTTTAGGAACCAACTAAAACAGTTATGAGGGATGAAAATTTTTTACTTTTTAATCTATAGTTAAGTCATACAACTCAGTCTGAGTGCTCACTAAATCATATTCCAGAGGATACAATGTAGCTGAAATAAGCAGTAGGAACAGGAGATAGATCAGAGGCCAATAAATTAATGCTTTAAAAGGGTTGGCTATCAAATTTATTCCAGAAAACAGAAGCTGTTTGCCTAAGGCTGAAGTTCTAGGGATTATACCAAAACCGCCTTAGGAGAAATGGGACTGTAAGTACTAACCAGGTCATAAATCAGGCCATTGGAGTTCTAATTCTGACTTCACCTTTTAGTAGCAAGTTATCTATAAGTCGTACCTGTTATTTAACCTCTCTAAGCTTCAGCATCTATGTACAGTAACTGAGTTGCCAGGGGAATTTAATTAAATCATACATGTAAATATACTGACAATAGTCCCTGCTACACAGAATGCACTCTGCAAATGGTATATAACCTATTTATAATCTGAAAGGACCTAATCTGAATCTTCTTAGGCCATAAAATAACTTCATTTTTAAAGGCTCCAGGAGACAGGCCTTTCAGAGAGGTCAATGCAATGACACGAGAGAGGAGTCACTATAGAGAAAAGCTTGGCAACCAGCAGCCATAAATGGTTCCTTCCATGATTACTGCCACTGGACCATAGCCACTTACCAGTCTAGCAGGCGATAAATGGTCCAGAGCGACAAAAGATGTGACCAGATTAAGCCCCAATGGAACACATCATCAAAGACAAGAAAGATAGTTCATCCCAATAACCTGCTAATTATTGTGAATGAAAGCTTTCCCCTTCCAATAATACAGTGAATAAGATTAAAAATATTAAGTTTCAGTAGAAATAGTGAGACATATAGAAGACTGCTTTAATTTTAGACACAAGCTGTATCACACCATAAGAAATGCATAATCTTTTCCTTTTTCCCCCAAAAGGAAAAATCCTAGGAGTTAAAGTATCCTTGAAATATCACTCCTTTCTGTATATTAAATATGTCAATTTTGCTCCCTTAATATTCTTCCCATCTATTCTCTTGTCTCCCCCTATCTACTTCCCTGCCTCCAGCAGCAATACTATCAATGTCTCTTGCCTGGGTTAGTGGTCTTCAGTAGCCTTTTTTTAACCAAGGCATAATAGATGTACATAGGGTTTGTGTGATAATTTAATGTACCCATGTAATTTACATGGATCAAATCAGTGAACTTAGGACACCCATCATTTTAAGTATTTGTCCTTCCTTTATACTAAAACCATTTGAATTCTTCTCTTCTAGCTAGTTTAAAATGTACAATACATTACTGAAAGCTATATGTCTTTTAACTAATCTTGCCATGCCCACACCTCTCCCTGTAATCAGTTCTTCACACTATAGAGAGACTAACTTTCCCAAATAAAGTCTGATCTTGTCACTGTTCTCCTTAGAACCCATCAAGACTTAACACTGCACTTAGGGTTCTAAGACCAAAATCCAAACAATGGCCTCCAGGTCTGAGACTGAGTCATCCCGTTTAAATTCTCATCATTCCCCAGTTTCTCCACTTCTTCCACTCAATGCTCTCCACACTCCACACATTTTGGACTTCTGCTTTTTTCAACTGAGCCAAATTCCCCAACAACAGCAACACAGGGTCTCTGCATATGTTGTTCCTTCTGTGTGCAGCACTCTCCCATCATTAACTCCTATTCATTCTCCAAAGCTCAATTCAAATGTCACTTCTGAGAAGTCTCCAGGGACACACTAAACTAGACCAGGTTCCTGTTACATGCTCTAATAGCAGCATGTCCTTCTTTTTCATTGCACTCATCTCAGTTTATCATTGTTATTACTTGATTAATCTATGTCTCACCCTTCAGATTATAGCTGCATGATAACAAAATCCATGTCTGGTGTGTGCGAAAGCAGGCATACTCCTTGAGCAATTTACCTACTAGATTAGCTTCTAAATCATTCCAAAACCACATCATAAAATTTCCCAAATGACCTTGTCTAATTTTTTCTTAAAGGAAAGCACAAAGTGAACCCTTAGGGTTGTTACCTAAAATATAATGACTAGGTAGGACCCAATCTTCATGACAGTTCCATCTTGATCAATATCTATAAGTGGTTTACTTGTCCAGTTAAAAGTACTATACTTTCAGTACTGTAAAGAACTTGATTTTTAACAAGACAGCTTGATAAGCTACTGTTAAAATGACCTAAGAATCAGAATGAAAGGCAGAGAGAAGGCATTCCCCCAAATCTTCTTGAAGAGTGCAAACACATACATTCAAATCCTGGCTCTGCTGTTTAGCGGTTGCTTCACCCTGAGCTAGTTCCATCCTTGGAAAATAATTCCTACCTGATGAAACACTGTGAAGATCAAAAACAATTAAATAAAATAATTTACATGAAAATATTTAGTATATATAGTAAGCTCTGGATACGTTTTTTTTTTTTCCTTTCTGTACTTCTTTAGCCTTTGATGGTTCCCAAATGTTAAGTTTAATAAACACTCATAATGCCAGGCTTCACCCTAATTAAGTAATCTCTTAGCAGTTTTTCTCTCTTGTTATACCCAACCTGTCATCTATGTCTTCAATGAATACACCCTGCTCAGACATCCAAATTCTGAATCTATGGAACATCCTTTAATTCCCTGTCAAAACACAGTCCCACAACCAAATACTGCTCATCTGTCATCTCCCTCCAGGAAGCCTCTACTCACTCAGCAGATTCCAGTGGAACACCTATGACATTCTGTAAATTCTCTGCTTTTAAATTTCTGTGTACACTCATGCCTGTGTTTTATTTCCAAAAACCCTGTACAACCTTAGAAAATGAAGGAGATGCTACTCTTTGAATTTTGGTCCAGAAAAGGCAGCCAATCTCTTGCAGTTTGTACTATACCTGGAGCTATGTAGCCAGGGGCAGCCGTCGCCCCAACAAAAGCTCCCCTTGTTAGAGTTCCTCTTCCTCTGCCCCGAACAGCTTGGACTGCTGCAGACACAGCTGTATTCACAACACCCTTTGCCTGTTAAAATAACACATTTTCATTACTGAAAGAAATAAGAACCAGCTCATTTCTTCTTTCTATCATCTCTTCAATGCACAACTACTATGAGAAACTGTGAGCACATGGCTGAGATCATGAGCTATCTGTGATCTTGAACCTTCAATTTATCATCTGAAAAAACAAAAATGATACCTACCTTACAGAGATGTTCAGAGAACATGCAAAGAATTTTTCACTTGAGGGTTTTCCAGAAAGTTAATTTTCTACACCAAATTTCAGTAATCAATTTATATCCAAAGTCATTTTTAGGCCTTACTAAAGTAATAATAGGCACTTGATACCTAGTTTCCAAATCCACTGAATTATCTCCCGACAGGCAGAAAACATCCCAGCAACTAACTACACAGAATTAGATGTGAATCTGAGTGGGGCTAGTTGGGGAAAAATATAAAGGGCTAAGACAAGAGGATCAAAAATGAGGATACGAGTTCCCACTCTAAGTAACTGTAACCTCAGGAAGGTAATATGATTTATTTGAGCCTGATTCCCCTGCTGTGTTTGTGTATGTATGTATCCATAAATATCTTTTCTTTTTTTTTTTTGAGATGGATACTTGCTCTGTTGCCCAGGCTGGAGTGCAATGGCGCAATCTCAACTCACTGTAACTTCCACTTCCTAGATTCAAGCAATTCTCCTGCCTCAGTCTCTCAAGTAGAAGGGATTACCAGTGCCCACCACCATGCCTGGCTAATTTTTGTATTTTTAGTAGAGACGGTGTTTTGCCATGTTTGCCAGACTGGTCTCAAACTCCTGACCTCAAATGATCCACCCACCTCAGCTTCCCAAAGTGCTGGGATTACAGGCGTAAGCTACCACGTCCAGCCCGTTATTAAATAAATACCACTTTGAAAGCCACTTCTTGGCCAGACATAGTGGCTCACACCTGTAATCCCAGCACTTTGGGAGGCCAAGGGGGGCAGATCACCTGAGGTCAGGAGTTTGAGACCAGCGTGGCCAACATGGCAAAACCCGGTCTCTACTAAAAATACAAAAATTAGCCAGGCATGGTGGTGTACGCTTATAATCCCAACCACTGCAGGGGTGCTGAAGCAGGAGAATCACATGAACCCAGAATGCAGAGGCTGCACTGAGCCAAGATCACGCCACTGTACTCCAGCCTGGGCAACAAAGTGAGACTCCATCTCAAAAAAAAAAAGAAAGAAAGAAACAGCCCCTTCTTACTCTAAAATGCCATAGAAATCTCCCTACTAATTATAAAATGTGGAAAATGATACCCACTTTGTTTTCTTTACAGTAGAGTAGAAAGAACAACCAAGAGTTATCAAATGAGAATGATACCCACTTTGTTTTCCTTATTTTAGAGTAGAAGAAAACAACTGAGAGAACAGATACAAAAGCATTCTAAAAGTACAACAGATAATACCAGGAGTAAGACTAAACGGGACTACTGAAAAAATCCTTTCCCAAACTAAAATTTTAAGAAAATCAAAAGGTGTCTAGTTTCAGACTGAGTATCATACTTATATAAAAACTCAAGCTAGAAACAATTAAGATTCCCCACTATAAGCAAGGTGCAAGGAATGTGGTACAGAGCCTCAAAGAATACTGTATGATGAGGTCAACAGTGTCGAAGAAGCTGAAAGAGTCAGAATACACATATGTTTATCTCACTTTGAAAAGGCATCATCCTTTATTCTTTCCAGGATAACCTCTATCTCTAGTATCAATGGGCAGGAGACAGTTTCAAGGTCCAATGCGTCATGCACAGGGACTGCCTTTTTTGTTTTTGTCTGAAATAAACCAACCCACATATCCAAAACAGACTGTTTCTTGGCTGTCAAACACATTGAACACATGAGTTTTATAGATTCTAGTATGGAAAATTTCTAAAAATGAGTGAACTTCATGTAGACATCTTTTTTTTAACATGACTTAGTCAAAAGTAGTCAGGAAGCAACAATCTGGCAGTAGCAGAGTGATTCCACAAATCTAGCTCATGTCTAGTAGAAACAAACTTAACTACCTAATAAATATTTGTACGTGGGCTTTTTAAATACTAAAATTAACTGACCAAATATAAGGTGTAATATGGGGGGGGAGGCGGAAATCCACCATAAAACAGGGTAATAATCACCTTTCAGCTAATTTAGAACATATTTTGTTCTGTATATACCAGAAGATTTTAGAAAAGAAAATCTACTTGGTCTCAACGTATATAGTTTAAAGGCTTTAAAAATATTTTCATCTCAGTAAAAGTCAATTTTCTCTATCTTTTGGATCCTAGAATTTAAGCAGTGTTTATTATACCAAATACAAGAAATTTAAAAGAATTAAAAAAACTTTCGAGATTGATACAATATGCAATAGTAAAAGGTCCATAGCCTTTGAAAGAAGAACCTGGTTCTAGAAGGAACCCCTACCATCAATTAGCTATGTTACTACAGGCAAGTATTTCAATTTCTGTGGGCCTTGTTTCCTTGCTTGTAAATTAACATCAATTCTACCCTCCTACAAAGGACTCAGCATATATAAAGGAATCTTAATATAATGTTTAATGTAGAATTAAAGAATCTAAGCTTCCTTTTATTAGTTTAAGCATTTTTAATGTGTTTCTATCACATAATATATTCAGATGTTATGTTATTATACCAGTACTCTCCATGAGGCACAATGTGTCTTATATTTACTTATGTAACTCTTTTCCCCTCACTATCAGGCATATGATGTTTGCTTTTTGAATGCATAAATGAATAGACGGAAGAATTTCATATCCACCAGCATGTAATTAGGGGCCATCTTTTCTAAATACCTTGCTAAGATCCTGGACATTCAGTAACACTGACATTCCCAATGTCAGTAATGAAGAGAAGCAATACAGCGCCAAATTTTATGCGGTCTGCAAAGGAAACCCAAAATAATACAAAAGGACAAAACTGCAAAGGAACTGAAAGAGCACCTGCAGACTCATGAAAGCAAAGCCCCAGGTACTCATGGCAGCTTCCCTAAACTAAACTGCTTATTATACCCCATTAAACTCCAAATCACCTCAAAACTTTACCTCATCAAGAATGACCTCAACCCTCCAAATAATGCAAATAGCCTCATATATATGTATACATATACATATTTACACACATATATACGTACACACACACACATAATTTGCTTAGAAAGACCATAGAACAGGTAACCACTAATCAGATTTATATTATTCATGACCTAACCCAAAGCAAAGGTTGCCAAGTCCAAGGAAAAGAAACAACTTCTGAAGAAAAAGCTAAAATGGCACATGGACAGCAAAGAAAATTTAATTTCTGTAACACCTTCCACAGGTTCTACCAAGGTTTAATGCTTACTCATACCTGAGGGATGATCTTCTTTTTCTTGTTATTTGCCGCATTAGGTCCAGAAAACAGCTTCTCCAAAGCAGCTAAAGCTGCACTTGCCTTGGCCACTTTCTTATTTGGACCTGCGCCTCTGAATTTCTGTCCATCTACTTCTACCTAAAATCAAGAATAACACCTTGCAATTATCCCATGCAATTCCTCTATTCCTTTTAATTTAAAGATATTATGACACAGAAAACACCGAAAATCAAATAGTGCCACAATAACTGACTCAGTCTAAAACTTTTTAAAATATAAGTTCAGGATATCCTATGTCTTTGAGAAGAAAGATAAGGCTGGCTTGTGTTTGGGTACATACCTCCATTACAAAGCGCTTGTCATGGCTTCCACCAGTTTCTGAGATGAGTTCATACTTGAGACCTCTTCTTTTTTCATTGAGCTCCATTACAGGGTTTTTGCCACTTGCTGTAAGAATAGGGCCCTGAGTTCTTACCTATAAGAGAAAAGGAATCTGAAGGTTCAATCAAGTAAGATTTTAGAATATTACATTTCTTCTTAATACAATTATGCTAAGAAGGAGGCTCAAAAATTCCACTTTAAAGAGTAAGTCACCTCTGTACACAAATGGCAAAATATCATTAAAGCTGTAAAAACTCTACAAGCAGTAAACACTGTGGTCATCTGGCCAGCCTTTCTTCAAACCAGTATTCAAGACCAATGTAGCCTCACCACTATAGGCTACTCCAGGCTCTGCTCTGTAGTGTTCATGATCTAAGAATAACACTCTAAATTACTAACAAATTGAATAGAACAGTTTGGATTCACATGATGCCTGAGGGTTCATCATTTTTCTTCTTTAGGATTAGGAAGAACTAACTCTTAATTTGGGATGTGAGAGGGGGAAATGTTCCTATACACATCTTAGTCACTCTGAACAGATTTAAGGGGACCTAAGGTAAAAACAGCCTATAGAGTATAGATTCTGAAAATTTAAAATAACACTAAAAGCAGTCACTCCCTGCCCTCAAAGAGCTACAGTGTAGTGGGAGGGACAGATAGAATTACTGCAAAATAATGTACATTAGAGAGCAGATATATGCTATGAAAACACAGTAAAAAGGATCAGTTTCTAGGGCAATCAGGATAGTTTTCCTAGAAGTGACATGTAAGCCTGACCTTAAAAGGTTAAGTACCAGACCACCATCATAGGGAGGCAAGGGAGAAGGCCTTCTGGACAGAAGCAGCAGCAATATAAAGGCCCAAGAGAGGAAAAGAACATTTGGGGAATGGCAAGAAGTTCAGTCTGGCTGTATAAGAAAGTGAGGAGAGGAAGCTAGTGTATTAGGATCTGATTAGAAACACCACTAATGGGGCCAAATCCACACAGGACTTTGTAGGCCAAGCAGACAAGCTTTGACTTAATTAGGGACAGTCAAGAGCCACTGGATGAGTTAAACACGGAAACCATCATGACTAGACGTGTTACAGAAAAACCACTCTAACAGTGGTAGAAATAACTGACTTGAGGAAGGATAAGAATAGAAGTAGTGAAGTAATTAACATAGGAGTGTGAAGGTGCAAATGAAAAGAGAAGATAGCATCAAAAGGAAACAAATAAATCCACAAAATACTACAACTATAATTTTAAGAAAGAAGAAACCAAAAGATAGAGCACTTTTTGAGATCAGAGATCATGTTTGTAATTCCACCACAGTAATTGCTCAAGAAATGCCGAACACACAAAATGAATGCCCAAAGGTGCTAAAAAAAGTTCTTTTTTTTTTTGGAAATGGAGGCTTGCTCTGCCGCCCAACCTGGAGTGCAATGGTGCAATCTAAGCTCATTGCAACTTCCACCTCCCAGGTTCAAGTGATTCTCCTGCCTCAGCCTCCTGAGTAGTTGAGATTACAGGCACCCGCCACCATGTCCAGCTAATTTTTGTATTTTTAGTAGAGACAGGGTTTTGCCATGTTGACCAGGCTGCTCTCAAACCCCTGACCTCAAGTGATCCACCTGCCTCGGCCTCCCAAAGTGTTGGGATTACAGGTGTGAGACACCACAGCCAACCCAAAGTATTAACTATTACGTATATAAAACTAATGAAAATCAGGATTCTCTTAGCAAAGTACTCTGTGCTGATTGGATAAGCGGTTGATGTTTCAGATGTGAAACATCAAAGGACAATTTTTAAGGACAAGTTTAAAAACATCCCTGGATCTTTGCAGTAAACATCTCTTCTTGATGAGTTTTTATAATCTGCATTTTTTAAATTTCAAGGCAAATTCCTAGTCGCTGTCATTAAAAGATGATGACTTGGCCGGGCGCGGTGGCTCAAGCCTGTAATCCCAGCACTTTGGGAGGCTGAGGCGGGTGGATCACAAGGTCAACAGATCGAGACCATCCTGGTCAACATGGTGAAACCCCGTCTCTACTAAAAATTACAAAAAATTAGCTAGGCACAGTAGCGTGTGCCTGTAATCCCAGCTACTCAGGAGGCTGAGGCAGGAGAATTGCCTGAACCCAGGGGGCGGAGGTTGCGGTGAGCCGAGATCGCGCCATTGCACTCCAGCCTGGATAACAGGAGCGAAACTCCGTCTCAAAAAAAAAAAAAAAAAAAAAAAAAAAGATGATGACTTTGGAAACTAGGTCTATAGTAATCATTCTATGCTTTCAAAACCTAAAATCATGTCTACAAAAATGAGACATAAAAATATCAGAATTTTAATAAATTACTATTATTTTAAATGAAGAAATAAATAAGGGCTTTCTTTTTTCTCCCTGCCTCCCCCCATTACTACAATGTACAGAAACAACATATAGATGTAGTCAGTATCAAAACTTTGTCTGTCAGTGTGGCTGCTACTAGTGCAGCCCACACTGCTCTCTCCCTTCCTAATTATCTTTGTACTTAATGGTCTGGACCTCATAATTAACAAGCCCCTTTTTTCTTTTAGTATATGTATATAAACATTGTCAGCAAAACAACTCTTGACCTGTGACTACCACCGGTGAATGACCGGTACCTCTCAGCCAGCCATGACATCATCTATCCTCCACAGCATCACACCAAGTGCCAAGTGTGGCTTTCTCAGGCTTCAGCCCCATCAATCCCGTCCATGCTGGCCCACTTGGCACTTCTTCAACATTTACTTTCACAACTTGAAGTCATCATACCTCCTCTTCCTTCAGTCTAGAATGCTTTCTCTTCTGCACATGGCAAAGCTCATCATCTGAAGCCTTGCTCACAGTGGACTCCGTTTGATTCTATATGATTGTGTAAGTGTATGTGTAAGAGTCTCACAACCCCTTCATCCTTCAAGATTTGACATTATTATGTTCATTTTGCCATCACAGTGCTTATCATATTATATCATCATTTGTTATAAACATGTATTTTTGCCCCGTTAGCCTGGGAGCAGCTCTAGGTTCTGCACACAATTTCTGCAACACCTGGCATTAAGCAGGTATTAAAAGGGATTTATGGACTGAAAAAAATTAGTTTATTAATTAAGTCCTTAATAAATACGTATTCGTACAAATGACAAAGTAAACCTTGTTTTAATGTAAGCTCTTGCTGTTACTTTAAAGCTAATTTCTTTACACAGAATGCAGTAAATGTGGAAACATGGGTTCCATGACTCCCCAGTGTATTGTGTATACTCAGTACTTGGATTTCATCCCATTCTATTACCTGCGATGATAAGTTAACAGGTCAGGACTTAATCAGAGTCTGAGGTACATATTGGGTCAGGGTATGCTTCCTTCAGGACTAGACCAACTAAACGATGACCCAGTGCACCCCACAGCTTAGCACAAACTTCAAATAATCCCAAATTTCCTCCACTAGATCTTGTAGTTTTCCAGCCATCAGTTATAACAATGTTGATAGACTTGGTGTATTATGAAATACTGAAAGCAGCTTCCATGGCCAGAAATCAAGAAATACCAGATAAATTAGGATATATTCATGTGTGTCACAGTTTACAGATATTTTTAAAGTGAAAAAAATCAAGACGTAAAACTGAATGAAAATATGACTGCCTTCATAGAGATTCATGAAAAAAACTGGATGGAAATAAACCAAAATAATAATAATGTCTACCTCTGTAATGTACAAGTTTGTATATGCTTTTGATTCTTATTTATACTTTTCTACATCTCTCAAATTTCCTACAATGCACATATATATTACCTTTTTTCTGAGAAAAAAATAAGTATACCTCTAAGGTACTGGAGGTTTCAGTTGTAGAATTTCCAGTATTATTGCTTGAGTTTGAAGACACTGTTTCATTTTTACTTTCATTATCTGATTTTTCATCGGAACTCATACATTCAATATCTGCATCAAAGCCTGTTGGATATCCCATTGCCTGCAATACCTGTTCAAATTACATTAAGATGCAGTTTTATTCAGACCTGAGAAACCAGAGAAAAGACAAAATATTGAGAACAAAAGTTTCAAATTCATAGCGTGTGAACCATAAAACACCTTGCAGGAAGAGCAAGATGGTACTAAATCTGTAAGTTCTTTGTTAAATAGGGTATATACCTACCAGGGTAGCACCATGGAAGAATGGGGAAACCTCCTCAGAGTAACTGAGTTTAAACACAGATGACAAATATAAACCTGACACTACTCCCAGTTCATTTAATTTGGAGATGAGAGGTAGAGAAAGTAACAGCATAGCTAGGTTCAGACCGACAGGATAAAGACAGAAGTAGCATACTGTAAAAAGTACACTGGTCTAGAAAGGAAAAAATCTGAGAGTCTAATCCTGTATTTCTCCTCTGGCCCTCAACTTTCCAATCCATAAAGCACAAAAACTGCCTGGGTTGACTTCTAAGTTCTATGACTCAATCCGTTAGGAGAAATTGCCCCAGAAACGCAATCAAGACATTTTCTGCCTTTTAACAAACTTGCCTGTCAATTACAAAGTAGTATCTAAAACTTTCTACTTTGCTTCCAATGTAAAACACAATCAAAACTTAAAAGATTCAGTCTCGGCCAGATGCAGTGGCTCACACCTGTAATCCCAGCACTTTGGGAGGCCAAGGCAGGTCGATGACTTGAGGTCAAAAGTTAGGGAACAGCCTGGCCAATATGGTAAAACCCAGTCTCTGCTAAAGATACAAAAATTAGCTGGGTGTGACGGCACAAACCCGTAATCCCAGCTACTTGGGATGCTGAGGCAGGAGAATCACTTGAATCTGGGAGGCAGATATTGCAGTGAGCCGAGACTGCACCACTGCACATCAGCCTGGGCAACAGAGTAAGACTCAGTCTCAAAAAAGGAGAAAAAAAAAAACCGCAGTCTCTGGGTTTATTCTCTATACTAAGTAAGCAAGGAACAATTTCAGTCTTGTATTTCCATCCCTCTCTCTCAAGGGCTGATTATGGCTACCTCCAATGTTCAAACTTCTTACACTTCTTATACTTTCATTTGATGTGTAGGATTTTTCTTACTTTTTTGAAATGAAGCTTTCAGAACAATGTGTACGTGTTTGTGTGTGACTGTGCACAGGCATGCTCGCACACCTATGCACACATGTGTGCCTTTTAATATCTTCCTGATTATACTGCTTTTTAGATGTTTACAAGAGAATATGTTCACTTTTTGTAAGCCTCTTTCAAAGGAGGTTGATATAGCTTTGTCACTTACTAATTAAAGGTTTACATCGGAGGATATAGGGATAGGTTCCTAAAGACCCCTGGATTTGTTTCCATTTTTAATTAAGTTGCTGAGATATAAAAGCAACATATTTCGTTATAATAACTGTACATAATAAGTGTAAAATGGTTATGACAAGCCACAAATGACAAGCCAGCCTTTATAAACAATCACATCTTGTATAAAGGATTTTGCCGATATAAGTAAAACTATATCCTAAACCAAAAAAATGGACCTACATAGAACTCTGCACCAGGAGAACTTGAAATTAATTCACACAATTCATATGGAGAACTTGGCATTCTTATCATAAATAAATGTCTTGAATTTACTTGGGAGTAAAGCCAAGAACCCTTTTTTAACATCTTAAGTTCTAAAAGTGTTTAGGTAATACTTTACACTAAGAACATTAACATCATTTGTTTATATCCTTATTAATATTTTATTTAAAAAACACCTTCTCCACTGTGTGAGTCTTGTAAATATTATGCTCTCCCTGAGAAATCTCATCTCAGATAATAGCCATCATTCCAAATTAACACTAGCTAACATTAAGTTGCAAGTCAAAAGCCAAATATCACAAATAAGTTTGATTTGTTTATTCCATTAAAACTAAAGACATTCATCTTTTCTCAACTTAACACAGACAATAAAAATAGTCTAATATAAATTCTTAATACCACCTCTCGCCACCCTTTTCTCACGTATCTGATTCACTTATTATTACAGTGACATATTTCAATATGTTTACAAATACTTTATATAAATGGTGGCTTATATCTCAGGGAATACAGTGTCCAAAACAGTGTAACCAAAAAATTAAAATTAAATCATTTTTAAGAACAGATATTCTAAGAGTATTTACTAGCATATGCTAAGAAGTCAAAAAAGCAAAGCGTTCTCAAACCTCTGCAACTGATAAAGATTCTCTTCTTAACCAAACTCTAGACAGGATCCTCTGAGCCATGTTTTTACCTAGGCCCCATCCTTGGGCCTTGTCCTTAAAAGCCAATCCTGCTAAATTGGTTCAGCCAGAATCCCACACCTTAAATATCTAATCACCCTTAATCACCTGGTATCTGATCAAATCTCATCGCCCACTGAAATGGTTTGTTTCCCCACTCAAACCTCAAATTGTAATCCCCAGTGTTGGAGGTGGGGCCTGGTGGGAGGTAACTGGATCATAGGGGCAGTTTCTAATGGGTTAGCACCATCCCCTTAGTACTGTCTCATGACAGAGTTCTTACGAGATCTGGTTGTTTAAAAGTATATGGGCACCTCCTTGAGCTTTTCTCTTCCTCCTGCTCTGGCCACATAAGAAATGCCTGCTTCCCCTTCCACCATGATTAAGTTTCCTGAAGCCTCCCTAGAAGTCTCTATGCTTCCTGTACAGCCTGCAGAATCGTAAGCCAATTAAACCTATTTCCTTTACAAATTACCCAGTCTCAGGTATTTCTTTATAACAGTGCAAGAATGGACTAATACACCCATCACTGCCTGGATGGTATCTGATCACCCTATCCTGCTCTGAGCAAAAATCCTAATAGGTCCGTTTAACCAGAAATCCCTCTTCATCCTGATGTTTCCTCTTAGTAATTTTCCATCCCTGTTCCTTGGCTACAAATCCTCACTTGTCCATGTTGAACTCAGAATTGAGCCCAGTTCTATACTAAGGTCTCTTTCCTCCATTGCAATAACAGTTCCTGAGTACATACTTTCTTTTACGGTTTAAACTGTCCCACTCTTGGTTTTCTTTGACAGAACCAAGTTTGTCTAAAATCCATGTTAATACTAAAAAACTAGTATTCCAAAGAAAAATGAATTTCACAAGTATCTGGCAAACAAATACAAACCTAATAAATACATCAATTGAGTTAAAAAAATCACAAGATAACTCATGGAAACAAGATGACTGGGAAATCATCTGTGTGTGACCAGATTCCTTTCTTCCTGGAAGAGGGCTGAGGTTAAGAAAGGTTGAGACTGAGAAAGATGCTACCCTCAAATACTAAGGGCCAAGAGTGAAAAGACAACAGATAGCACTCTATATTATGGCTCTCTACTCAAGAAAGAAACATTCATGGCTTCTGTATGATAGAGATCTGATTTCATCAGTTTCTCAGGAAATCTGATGTCTCTAAGAACCTCTCCAAAGAGCCTTCCCTTCATCTTCATCCCCCTCTAGCTGAATTTTTCCCCACAATGACAAAGATTATTTTCATGTAATACGATTATGACCCTAAAGGTATCCTTTGTGAGGGGCTGCCAGGATAAAGAAGTGGAAGAGTAAAGGGAAGACTGGCCACTAATTCTCCATCACGTTAGGGTGCTTGCGGTTCTGCAGCCAGGCCAGGCTCATGTGACAGGATTGATTTCTTGTTTTCTTTTGATTTGATTCTCTGGTGTGATTTGTCATAGTAAGTACAGAACCCTCACCATGTTATTAAGAACTAAAAGAATTTTGACCTACTTTCAAAAATATGTTAGATGCAAAATTCTTTCTCAAACTCATTTATAAACAGAATGCGTAACATGGAATAGAACCTTTATGGATAACAATTTGGCAATATATGCCCGGCATATAATAAGAATTCCAATGCACTTTTAAACAAATAAATGAATCAATAAAATGTGTTTATCTTTTGACCCAATAATTCCATCTCTAGAATATGTATCTTAAGGGATCATCAGACAAGTTCAAAAAAGATGTAAAGCAATAAAATGGAAGCATCTAAATCTAAAATGACTAGCTACATTATGATAATGTAAGAGACCATCTGCTAATAATGAAATGTCAGACCATCACTAAAAATAAGAGCAATATTTGAGTTAGTTATTTAAAAATTCATAATATATTTTTAGATGAAGAGAGTATAGGCCAGGCACAGTGGCTCGTGCCTGTAATCCCAGCACTTTGAGAGGCTGAGGTGGGCAGATTACCTGAGGTCAGAAGTTTGAGACCAGCCTGGCCAACATGGTGAAACCCTGTCTCTACTAAAAGTGCAAAATTAGCAGGGCATGGTGGCGTGTGCCTGTAATCCCAGCTACCCAATCTCCTACTAAGGCAGGAGAACTGCTGGGACCCAATAGGCAGAAGCTGCAGTGAGCCAAGATCATGCCACTGCACTCCAGGCTGGGCAACAAAGCAAGACTCTGTCTCAAAAGTATGATCCTATTTTAAATATATATATATTTTTACAGTCATTATGTAGGTTCACCATTCCTTATCTGAAACCCTTGGTGCCAGGTTGTTTTGAGAATTCATAATTTTTCAATTTTGAGAGCTAATACAATACATATGTCACATATTTTCCAAATTCCCAGTGGATTCTCAGGTGCTATCCCATGTTTATGCAAAAGAACATATAAAATAATCACACTGAATAGAATAATGAAGACTAAAACTAGCCCCATATCAATTCAGGTCATGTTTTCCCACCCAGTGAATTTCTATCAAACTTAGGGAAATTTTTTTCATTTTTAATGCTTTCTGAATTTTAGAATCACTGGTTAAAATAAGAAGACTTACAAGAATACATGCCAAAAGTTAATGGTTATTATTTCTAGGTTTCAGATCTATAAACTTTTTCCCCTCATTTTCTAAACCATTTATAGCAAATACACATTATACATTTATAATAACATTTACAAAGCCAAAAGTCACTTTTAAAAAACAAGACATAAAATAAAAATTCTGTGCAGACCTTAGGGAGAACAATCTGCCTCAAAATAGAAAGCAAGTTCTGGAATAAAGCTATCAAGTCATAAACCTGAGATGTTAGAGGCCTAGAAAAGACTGCAGGCCACTTGAGACTGACAGCTAGTAATAGGTTTTCATATCATATAGCTGATAAACCAGATAAAGTAAGCAGAGACTTTCGAAACTTCAAAGCTAGTTTACTCTGATTCTTAATTTATTCTACCTGGATGAATAAAAAGTTTAGTTTATCCCATTTTCAAAAAAGGCAAATCTTAACTCTTCACAAATTTCAGATTTACTAGTTACTGTACATTCCACCCAAAATGTCAGTCAAGGTAAATAAAAGTATGAAAGCTATCTACTCACCACACAAGTCACAAGAAGCCATTAACAATTTCCTCAGATCCAGTGTCATTCACATTATAACTGACATCTACATTTCAGAAATTTGTCGGGAAGCTTAGCTTAATCCCAAGCTTACACCCTCTCCATATTTACCAAAAGCTCAGGTGAATAATAATTGGAATTGAAGACAAAAGCATACCCAGTCCAACCAAGTTCCATTATATCATAAAAATATATCACTGCATCAAATAAAAACCAATCTTGTCACACTGCAAAATTTGTCACTCTATTAACTTTCTCAAATTTTACTGAATTGCAATTTGCTATGAGGCCACTAGATTATGTTAAAGGTTATTGTAAGAAACAACCCACAAAATTTATCACTGCATCATAGATGCCTCTAAAGGAGATAACTGATATCCTTGGTTTGTGAAGATCTACCCAAGGAGAAATGCCCACTTGATCAAAAACCACAACTGTGACTCTCATAACCAAACTCTCTCTGTTCTTAAGACATAGAGAATGAATTGTATATTTTACAAGCTTTTTGTGTCAGCTGCTACAGAACTTAGCTTAGCTCTAAACTTGTGGCTCATTCTCAGTGTATGTGGTTATTAAACTATATATTTAGTCTTATTCCTGGATTCGCTTTTCCCCTCATTGTTGGCTTTCTTTTTCTGCCTTATTTTAAATTCATATTCTTTCACCATACTTTAGATATATCTTTTCTAATGAAGACAGCATAAGTAATTTATAGTGTTTGACATTTTTACAGCTTATTGTTTTTCTGCATGCATTGTTCTGATCACTATTTGATGTTTACATGCTTGTTTGTATATTTGTTGTCTATCTTCCCATCCTATACACACTAGAATGTAAGCTCCATGAGAGCAGCAACTTTGTTTCATTAACTGCTATATCCCCAGTATCTAGGATGGTGTTCACATCTACATTAACAATACATACAAAATGGAATGACCATGAAAATAGACCAATTATATCGTATGCCATACTGTTATATAAAAGAACTTTTCTTAAGTGAATCTCATCTTCAGTCTACATAATCTTTAATATTTTTGCATTAGCCTGCAAGAGGTCAAATGTACTTATAGAGAGATCCCATTACTTGGAAATTTTCTACAAACCTACATGCATAATTGGTCCAATCCTGGACACCATGCCCTATGAAAATATTCTAAAAATAAAGAAGAAGCATATACAAAGATACTGATCAAATTTACTTATAATAGAAATAATCTGGAATAAGCGAACTATCCAATAATAGGAAAATGTTTAAACAAATAGTATACCCATAGCATATTAATCGAACATTCATTATAAATTATTTATGAAGATTTTCATAATGAGGAAAAACACTAATAAAACATTACATGAAAAAAGTCAGAAGATAAGATTACATATATACTATGATCTTATTTAAAAAAAACAGCAAAATAGAAAATGATTGTAAATAAAACAACATATTATATACAAATACTGATGGTCTTTGCTTCAAAAATATTCAATTGACTTAATTTAATTTCTTTACTTCTTTCTGTATTTTCCAAATTTCATATAATTATCACATATTATTTTACAACAAAAAAAATTTGTTATCCAGAAGTGACAGAAGTCTATATATAATATTATTGCTATTAAAATGTTGAAAAAATAATTTATTATAGGAAAAGAAGCATCTTATTTGGAACACAAAATAAAAAAAAAACACCGCAAAGTAAAACAAATACTGTACCTTCACTGCTACGTGAAGTTTTGCTGTTTTCTTGGATGGTCCCGAGGCTTCGTATGTTGTGCCATCCACATCTACAGACATTGTGAAGACTGGGGCATGAACGGGGCCAGACTGAGATAAGAGCTTATACTGAAGCCCAGGCCTGATCTGATTTAGCCTCATTAGTGCATTCATAAGGTCTATTGCTTTACTATCCAGAACTGTTAAAGAAAGAAGAATGAGGTCAGAAATTAACTAGAAAGTCATTTTGCTTTAACCTCTGCATTTTTGGGGTCCCTAGTAACTACTGTAAATTTACCAGACTTTTAAAAACTGAGTATTTCGAAACACATAGCTTAACCTCATAATTCTAAAATTATTATGCTAACATCACTGTAAAAATAGTATGCATTACTGTAACTATACATTAATTTTCTCTTGTCAATATTAATGTATTGTAAGCCAAAAAGCTTGGAAACAAAAAAGTTATTCAATTATCAATTGCTTAGTTAAGATCTAGTCTCAAAACTCTAATTCAAATCAATCAAATTCTTCACTTTTTGGATGAGCATGGTGGCTCATGCCTGTAATCCCAGCACTTGGGAAGGCCGAGGCAGGTAGATTGCTTCAGCTCAGGAGTTCAAGACCAGCCTGGGCAACCTGGCGAAATCCCATCTCTACCAAAAATACAAAAACTAAGCAGGGCATGATGGCACGCACCTGTGATCCCTACTATTTCAGAAGGCTGAGGTTGAAGGATCACTGGAGCCAAGTAGGTAGAGACTGCAGTGAGCTGAGATTGTGCCACTGCAGTCCAGTCTGGGTGAGAATGAGAACCTGTCTCAAAAAAAAAAAACCCTTTGTTTTTAATTTTTCTATCTGAGACTACAAGTCCTCTCTAGTTTGCATCTGTAAGAATACAGGTTTTACACACTTTTCCTTAAGTTTCGTTTCATCTTCTTATTGGGGTCTTTATCATCCCCTAATCCATCTTCAAATGGCCTCTTGAGAGCTGAAGACCCAGCACCTAAAAAAAATTATGAATTCATTATCAGTCAAAACAACAATCCTACTTACTGTACCACATGTATCTAACATGTTCAGGTCGGAAAATCTTAGGAATCACACGAAGGACCATACAACTTTTTAACTGATCAGTTAAATTACCATATTTACAATCTAGAAAAGCAAATTTTTTAAAGCAAATCTTGAAACAATATTTCACTTTTTATATTTATTTTTCCCATTTATTCATAAATACACACCAAGATCTATGCCTATGCTATGGTCTGAATGTTTGTGTCCCCACCAAATTCAAATACGGAAACTTAATCCCCAGTGCAGTGGGATTAGGAAGGGGGCACCTGGAAGGTGATTAGGTTATAAGGGTGGATGGAGCCCTTATTAAATTAGTGACCTTATAAGAGATGTCTGAGAGAGATTGTTTGTCCTTATAGCAGGCACTACCTATGAGGAATGAGCCCTCATGAGACAGCAAATCTGCTGAAGCCTTGATTTTGGACTTTCAAGCCTCCAGAACTGTGGGCAATAAATTTCTGTTGCTTATAAGTTACCCAGTCTAAGGTGTTTTGTTATAGCAGCCACATAGACAACATATATTCACATGTCATATGCATGAACAGAATAAGTCTAGAAAGCTATATATCAAAATGTTAAAAAGTAGTTACCTCTGGCAGGATGTATATTTACTTAATATCGTTTCAAACATCTCTAAAATTCAACATTTATGACTTGCATAAACTGTAGAAGTCCGAGAGCTAAATCTTATGCTTAGAAATCTGATTATCAAACTATATTCTTTTGCCTCATCAAATCCTATTCAAAATTTTATTTACAGTTTACCTCCTCTATAAAAAGTTCTCTCGTATCAAAGAGTTTTTATGATATCAGAATGTAAAGTCTTATATCACTGCCTATTTCATATATTCTTGTGTGTCTTCAGTGCTCCTTGAAGGTCAAAGATATTTTCTCCTGGTCTTGTATCTTTCAAACTACCTTAACACAAGACTTAGAAGCAACATAATAGGCACTGAGCAAAAACTAACTAAACTGATTAATAATCAATTTCTTAGATACAGCAGCCAACAGTTTATAATGTTGTCAAGCAAAAGATAGGAGCTTTGCTGTCCAAGTTAAAAATTATTAGAGAAAAGTTCATCAACCTATCCAAGTACTTTAAAGATCTCTTTATGTCTTCATCTTAAAAGTTAGTTGTTTTTCCTAAGGAAAATTATGCTCAAGATATTCATGCCACATGATTTCCAGATACTTCTAGTGAAAGCTTATAATAATAATGAGATTAACTATGTATTTTCTGATCAAGATTTACTGTCCCTTGAGGTAAACACTGACTTCAGCATTTGCTTGGGTCAATATTTACCACTCAGGCCAATCAATCTTGATGTTCTCTTCAACAGAAGGCAATATGGGCTGAGTATTATATTTCATTTGCATTACATAAAGCTATGAGTATGCCAGTCTCCCAGAATGCAGTCTATAAGAGATACAAGTTAAAAAGAACTATGTCTATTCAATCGCTCTTCTGCTCATTAAGTTACATTAAAGGCAGCTCCTTGATTGCCTGGAAATCACAAGCTAGCTTAAATGCACAGATCTATTCTCTAAATCCTCTAGCTACATAAATAGAGTTCCCTAGATTAAGCTTCATTCTATCATTCCAGCCATTGCAAAGGGGCTGTAAAATGTGGGGCTAATCATAATAAGCAGCCTAAGGGAAAAAATGGGCTTGCTTTACAAAAAATGGGTAGTTTCAACTTTTAAAATATCTAGTAATGTGAAGTGATAATTTATGAGGCAACAATTTTTTAAAATAATATATTAGTATTTGCCATATGCCTGACACTGTTAACACCTCACAGGTATCAACTTATTTAATCCTCATGAGCACCCTCATGAAACCATTACCTTTACTGTCCCCTTTATAAATTCATTCAGTAATAAACAATAAATGTTAATTGAGCAATTTTATGTGCCAGACATATAGCAAGTAACAAAATTACCTCCCTTTTCTCAAAAAGCTTACACATAGTGGCCAAAACTACTTACAACATATACTATGGTAGTGAGTGTAAACAATTTATATGTCGTGCTTATCAGAAAGGTATCACTAATGAGGAGACCTTTTAATGAAGACCTAAGAAAGTAAAAGAGTGAACTATGCAGTCATCTGGAGAAAGAATCCCAGGCAGAAAAAAATAAACAGCAATTACAAAAGTTTTTAAGGCAGAAACATGCTAAGAAATGATATAAAGGCCTGAACAGTTGGAGTGAAATGAACAAGAAAAAGGTGCTAGCAGTAGGTGAGAAGAGCCTGCTAGCTAGGTGAGGCAGTAGTTCTCAAGTCCCGGTGCCATTAATTGACAAAATATCAAGGGTCCATTTCCAGTATAAGAGAGTAAATAAGTCAAAAAAGCTTCCTGATTAGAGCAATTCGAAAAACTGGACAAAACAAACAATAAATATCTGTTCCTAGACAATGAAGAATATTAAAATCAAGATCTGGGAGGTGAGCCAGGCATGGTGTCAAATGCCTGTAGTCCCAGCTACTCCAGAGGCTGAGGCAGGAGGATTCATTGAGTCCAGGAGTTTGAGGCTAAAGTGGGCTATGACTACACCTGCAAATAGCCACTGGACTGCAGCCTGGGCAATATAGACAAGCCCTGTTTAAAAAAAAAAAAAAAGATATGGGAGGTGAAAGAAATCCTCTGCATTGGGGCTCACAATAACCCTAGGGGCATCTTCCGAATCCAGAAGAGGTCACTAAAAACTAAAGAGAGTAATGTCAACAGGCTCCCAGGTCTCAAGGAGTCCAAAACTAAAGTTCAAGGTCCAAGCAGAGAAGGAATGGTGAACCCCCCACACTCTGGGTTGGGCCTCTGAAATGTTACACTCTAGAAGTAAAATGAACTGGAAATAGCATGGCCCTCACAAGGATGAAAGCCAAAGTTCAAATTATAATTTTTTCTTTTTGAATTGGAGTCCCGCTCTGCTGTCCAGGCTGGAGTGCAATGGCATAATCTCAGCTCACTGCAACCTCTGACTCCCAAGTTCAAGCAAGTCTTTTAACTCAGTTTCCCAAGTAGCTGGGATTACAGGTGACTGCCACCACACCTGGCTAATTATTTTTTTGTTATTTTTAGTAGAGACGGGGTTTTGCCATGTTGGCCAGACTGGACTTGAACTCCTGCCCTCAGGTGATCCACCCACCTTGGCCTCCCAAAGTGCTGGAATTACAGGTGTGAGCCACCATGCCAGGTCTCAAATTATCTTAATCCCTGACTGCAATGAAATGATCTAGGGCTGCCAATTCGGTTAGCTGCCTCCCAGAAACAAATATAAATCCTCCCGGGAGAAAGATATCATTGCTCTAGACTTTAAATTATCTACAATTTCTTATTTTAAAAATCCAGCACTCATAATAACCAGGCACATGAGAAGATAGCATGATTAGAAATCAAGAGAAAGAGCAGACAATACAAACAGACCCAAAATAGACCCAGATGACAGGCCTTTCAAAAACAAACTTTCTTAAAAATAATTTCAGGCAGAAAATCTGAAACTATAAAAAAGCCAAAAATCTACAAATGAAAAATATAAACTAAAAACTGGCAGGTCTGCAAGGGGAAATGGCAAATCCACAATAGATGGGAATTGACAGAACTCTCTCAGTAATTAATAACATCTGAAAAACATACAATGAACAAATGACATGACCTAACATGAAAAAAAATATTATGACCCTCAACTGCAGAATATACATACTTTTTCAGAGGAAAAAAAGACCATATGCCGGGCCACAATATACTCAACAAATATCAAAGGACAGAAATCATACAATGCATGGAGAGCAAAATAAGTAAAACCTCAAAAACAAGAGTTAACTACAAAATCTTCATTCATCTGCAAATTAAGCAATAACATCTAAATACCCAACAGGTAAAAAAAAAAAAAAATTAGGAATAAAAGAAAGTAAGAAAGTAAAAAATAGCTTTAACTAAATAATAAAAATACAAATGCCCAAAGAATGTGATGTCCATAAATCTGTGCTTAAAGGGAAATTTACCATCTTGATAGTATATACAATAAGAGGTTGAAAAATCAATGAGGTATTCACCCAACTCATAAAGTTTAAAAACAAGAGCAGCAAATTAAACCCAAAGAAAGTCATAAGGAGGGAAAAGTATAGATAAGAGCAGAAAACCAATAAAATAGAATACAAACATACAACAGAAGACAATGAACAAAGCCAAAAGTTAATTTTCCTGTAAAGACTAATAAAAATAAGTCCCTAGGTGAGTCATTAGCAAAAAAAAAAAGGAAGGTACAAAATATAAAAAGACATGACTACAGATACTACAAACAATAAAATGAGGACCTTATAAATTATTTTATTTCAAATGTTTTAAAATTTAGGTGAAATGGAAAAATTCTTAGAAAAGCACAGCTTACCGAAAAGTGTCATAAAAAGATGGAAGTCTCATGCTTATTAAGGTAATCAGATTCATAATTTAAAATATTTTCACAAAGAAAACACATGCCAATGGCTTCACTGATGAATTCTTCCAACAGTTAAAGAAAAACTAACACCAAACATATTCAAACTTTTCCAGACAATAGAAAAAGAAGGAATACATTGTAACTCACTTTATGAAGCCAGCATAACCTTGAAGTCAAAGCTTAATACAGGAGAATTGCTAGTCAATCTAACACACAAATACCTGCATTTTGACTTGCCCACAGAAACCTACATTGATTGCTTTATATATATATGTATGTATGTATACACGCACGCTCGCGTGCGCACACACACAAATTATTGTTTTTTTATATACACACACACACACACACACACACACACACACACATATATATATATATACATGATTGTTCATAGAAACTTCACCTGTAAAAAGCCAAAACTGGAAACTAAATGCCCTACAATAGGTAAATAGTTAAATAAAGTCTAGCTCATTGACACCATGGAAT